TGTTGTTGAAGTCTAGCTATATTCAGTGTGGAGTTGGACCATGCTAACTTGAGGGGGGGCGGGAGGGCGGTCAAAGAATCAGTACTTTCATCGCGCAATGGATTCCGGGCTCCTTTCGCTTCGTATTTTCTGTTGGAAGCCAGAAGAAAACCGAAGCCTGCCTGGTCCGAATCCAATTTTGAGAATTACAAGACCAAAATCTAGTTCAAAACATTACTGAAACCATGGCGATTTCAAGGAAGCCATGGTGAGCCAACCATCGGAGTTGAACTCCCCCGACTTCATTTTGTGAAAAAGCGGGTGTGCAAAATAAACATGAGTTGGACCCCCTAACTGTATTTTCATCCAAAAATGAAAAGGAAGTACGTTTTGTCCAACTTGGACTGTTCAAACCAAGCCCCCAAAATGAGGTCAACATAAATCGTGATTTGTCAATTTATTGTCTGTCAAAGTTGGACTACTTCATGTTATTTTCCAATAAGGATGGACTAACCGTATTTCATCTGATAAAATGAGGGGGGTTCAACCTTGTCTGGAGCCTCTAACGGGGGTGCGTGGTTGATCGCACGAAATGCTAGTAACATGCTGCTTTCTTAGTCGGAACGCGGGCTTCAAAGTTTGTTGCGTGGCTTGCGGGCCTGCTCTTGGAAGCGAGCAGACCTGCGAAAATACTTTCTTTCCAGCCAGAGCCTTTTGAAGTGTACTTCGTGCACTACTTTCATGATTGAAAGCTGCAATTTGCCAGCCGAAGCTGTGAGAAGTTACTTGAAAGTTGCGATTTTCCAGCCGGAGCTGCAAAAGTGCACTTTGCGAGTCAAGCAGGATTCGAGATCGGGGCTGCGGACCGAGAGTTGGGTTCAAATCGCAAGGTTGCTGTGTTTTGGTCAGGGCTGCGCGCAGAAAACTTGCTCAGAGGACTTGCTCATAAAGCGTTTTGCGCGGCGAAACTTGCACAGAGCACTTTTTGTTTTTTCGTTTAGTGGGGGAAGATTTGCCAGAAGGGGAAGCATGCGAAACATGGCACACGGGATCGGCTTTGAAAATCCCGATGTCGCTTTAGCTGGTGCACCCCACGAGCCAAGGTGATGCTGAGGGAGCCACTGGCTGGCAGCGAGGAGGCGCCAGGCGGCGGACAGGCAGGCGGCGGCATGCGTTTTGGGAGTTGGTTGTCGCTCAGGACACAGTCGGAGGGCATGCGGAACAGTACTTGGCCCAACCGCTAGGCGACAGCACCTTTGCACCATGCTCATAGCCTTGCCTGGCACTCGGTGACAGGCACTCTTCTGAGATTGAGCAGGGATGGTCGCTTCTGTCTTTGCAGAATGCGTGGAATGGACAGCAGGTTCTTAAGTTGCATCAACTGATATATATATATATATATATATGCATGTGTATATATATATACGTACGTATTATATAGGGGGGCCTAGCTCGCGAACAAAAAGTAAAGATACATCGGAGAGGCCAAGCCACCGAAAGCCCCAAAGGCCGAATTGAAATCACTGGAGGTGAATTCTGTGGCCACGCGCTACGGCGCCAGCCGCGCATGGGAGAGGCAGGTCACCGTCCCTCGGGCTGTGGCTGCACCGGTCACCCACAAGAGTTGTGCCGGGTGCCCAGGAATTGGACTGAACATCAAAAGCCTGGGTAAGTCAAGATTTGTAAGGGAAAGTCCCAGCCAGAATCAGAAGTTTCAGCCGCCTTTGTAGTTCTTTACATTGCTTTGGGTACAACATTTTAATACCAGGTTTTGATTGTGACTTGCGGGTGAAGGACAAACTGCGGGGGGGATGAGATGAGGCAATTCGCAACAAAGTCAGCCCAAGTGGGAGCTCAAAGATGTTTATGCAGTCGAGCCGGGGGCTGCCGTTGTGCCGTGGCAAAGATCATGGGGCCGCCAATGACCATGACCCCCTACAGTACTGCAACCATGATTTCTTGACGTGTAACCACAATCGCGGATGCCGCCTGAGGTCAAAGTTGCTCGGCTGAAAATGCTCGCCCTGAGAGTGCCGAGCCAGACTAGACTGGGGAAGCCACCCTCCTCTGTTGATGGCATGGTCAGGCATAAATGCTCCCACTGTTTGCTGCAACATGATATGCGCGTCGTTGCAAGGCTTATCTTCTCTACTTCACCTCGGGCTTGAGAAATGGATTCCAAGATCTTGGATTCCGAAACCTGCCGGAACTCCATCATGGCCTTGAGAAGGAGCTGCTGCGAATGGAGCCCTTGATGCATTTGGCTGGATCGGACGCCGCGTTTTTGGAGCCAAGACTTAGGACATGGTGTGGTTGAGGATGTTTAGACTAGATGTCACGTATCTAGGCCGCTTGGGCTCAAGTCTGGCAATGCAGCCATGAGACAGGCCAGCGACAAAGAGGCAGACGCCACACGATGGCTTCTTGGAATGAAGGCTTGCCGGGGCAAGTGGATGAAGTCCTTAAACCTGATGCAGGGCATGGGTCAAGCCAGAATCGCCCATGCGGCAGTGTGCAGCAACAGCATCAGCAATTGCAGGGCGCAAAGCTGGCCGTGGGCACTTCAGCTCCTAGCGACATGGGCTTGGAAGCAAAAGGCAGATCTCGCTATTTGGAACTCCGCCCTGCGCTCGTGTGAGTCCGGGGCTTGGCAATGGGCACTGCTTCTTCTGCAGGAGATGGATACACGCAGTGTTCAAAGTGATGTAGTGTCATGCAGCGCGGCCATTGGTGCGTGTGGCAAGGGATCCTGGCAACTCGCACTGCATGTGTTTCACCAGCTTTGCAACAAGAAACTTGTACCTGATGCGCGTCTCTACAGCTCAGTGATCAGTGCCTGTGGGAAGAGCCGGGATTGGCGGTTGGCGATGTGGCTGTGGGATGATGCACATAAAAGGCACTGTGAAATCGACGTGGTTTTCTGCAACATGGCCATCAACGTGTGCGACAAGGCTGCGGCATGGCCAGCTGGGCTGGCGTATCTCGACCAAATGCGGCAATCGGCGCTGAGTCCTGACGTTACGTCCTGCAGCACAGCCATCAGCGCCTGCAGCCAGTGGCGAGATGCACAAGCCTTGTTCCACGTCATGCCTCAGCACCGCTTGCAGCCCAACACAATCACGTACAATGCTGCGATATTTGCCTGTGCGCAGGCGTCACAAGGCAACATGGCCCTTGGACTGCTGAAACACCTGACAACTCATTCAGGATTTCCAGACATTATCACCTTCAATACAGCTATATCAGCTTGTGACGCGGGGGAGACATGGGAAAGTTCGCTGTGCCTGCTGGATACTATGCAATTTGCACAGGTCACTCCGAATCAGAGAACATATTCTGCAGTTATCAATTCCTGTGGCAAAAGCACGAACTGGCAGCAAGCTTGGAGGCTCTTCGCGAAACTTCGAGGTTCAAATTCCCAGCTAAGCCCGGTCACATGCAACGCAGCCATCACAGCGCTGGCCAAGGAGAGTCAATGGCAGCTGGCAGTGGGGGAAGTTGCTCGGATGCAGCAGGCAGGCCCCGAGCCCACATCGGTCAGTTACATTGCAGCGATCAGCTGCTGCGAGAGCGCTGGGGAGTGGCAGTGGGGCCTCCATCTTCTGCAGGATGCGCAAGAGACGGGCGCAGCAGATGTTACCGTCTACAGCGCAACCATGGGTTCTTGTGGTGCAGGCGGCCAGTGGAGGTGGGTTGCACACCTACTGGGCGACATGAAGAGTAGTGCAATGAAACTTGACGTAATCGCGTGCAATGCCGCGCTGGCAGCGTTTGCAAGATGTGGCTCCTGGGGCCATGCCCTTCAAATCATCCGCGACATGGCGGCTTGTGAGTTGCAAGCTGGCAGGGTATCCTTTAATTCCGCAATCCTTGCATGTCAGCGAACAGAGCGGTGGGCTGAAGCCGTTGCCCTGCTGTCAGAGATGGTTTGCGCCAAGATCCCCCCAGATTTGCTGAGCTTCACTGCGACCTTCAGCACATGCGAGGCAAGGGGAGTCGCTGTGTCGAATCTGTGCTTCGGCTTTTCTGAGGAGCTTTTGGAGGGTGAGCCTTGGGACGTTTTCCTGGGCCTTCATTTGCTAGCTCGAGCCGGAAAATCAATCGACGCACATCGAAAGCTCAAAATGCAAGAAAAGCTCGCATTGTGTGACTTGCGGAGCTTTGCGGTTTCTGATTTGGGAGCACTGCTGTGGTCAATGGCTTTCCATGGTATCCAAGCATCATCAGATATCCTGCACTCCCTGCAGCAGTGCTTGCATGAGTCCAAGCTTCCGTGGCAGATGCTCGGTCAGCTGGACTTTGCTCTAGATAAGTTCAGGTGTACTACGACAGACCCCTCAGCTGTTTGGCAGCTAGAGGGATTGCTTGAAGAAACATCAGCACTTGCACCCAGCGCGCTGGCACTGGCAAGCTCGGCGAGCACGCTGGAAAATGCTGCTCCTGCCGATCTGCTTCTTGGATTGGACACCTTTTCAGAGGGCGCCGGAATCTCAGTCCTGGTGGCGGAGGACCCGAAACTTGCAGAAGCCCTTGCCAGCCGCGAGTACAACGTGCAACAGTGGAATCGGATGTCGACAGACAACAGGCTAGCAACACTGACGCCTCCTTCGGACAGCCTCTTCGATCATGTAATTCTTAGGCTTTTCGGTATTCAATCTCAACGTGGTGGATCATCTCTGCGATTGGTTCTCACAGCTGTTGCCCCTTTGCTGTCCACTGCTGGATCACTTTGGGTTTGCGGCTTGGAGGAGGAAGGAATCCACGATGCACGCTCTGTCCTGACTGGCTTTCAAGAAGTTACTGAAATCACCAGACGAGGCAGCGCCGCAATCTATCGAGCAAGGCTCCTGGTAACCCCGCCGACAGGTTCGCTGCATGACTTTCGATACTTGGTTCCCTTGTACTTCGAAGTCACTGACAGATCTGGATGGGTTGTATGGCCGGGCTTGTTTGCCGGAGGAACCCTTGATGTCATGACCGCCTTCTTGCTCCGCCAATTGCCGCAGATGCAAGCGGGTTCGACTGTCTTAGATTTCTGCTGCGGGAGCGGGTGCATCGCCCGAGCTTTGTGCGACCAATATGATATTTCTGTGCACATGTGTGATGCAGATGCCTTTGCTTTGGATGCAGCTCGTCACAACGTAGCAGAGGCACGCAACAGGTGCTTCTTAGGAGATGGCTGGCGCAGCGTGCCGGAGGATTTGAAGTTTGATGTTATTATTTCAAACCCTCCGGTCCACTCGCGAATGCAGGAAGATTTCCGCGTCATTCAGGAATTGATTCTGGGAGCAGCTGCACGACTCAAAGACGACGGCTGCTTGCATCTCGTGACCCAAGTGGCTGTGCCCCTTCGGGGGCTTCTTTTGAGGCACGGGTTCACTGTGCAGAGTTACAGCGACGGCCGTTTCGTACATTGGATCGCAAAAAAACAAATGAATTGTTTGAAGCCAAGCCCCACACCTTGGTTAGGTTGCGCATGTTGTTGCAGGGGTCTCCTAGTCCTGCTGCGCCTGCACGCTGCAATTCCGATGTGCAAACCCGGCATCCCACTGCGTAGAGGCGTAGATCATCCCGCATCACTGAAGGGCAGGCTGCCATGCTACTGTCAAAGGGCAGCCAGAATGCATTTTCTTCAAGTGGCTTGTGGCTTCAAGCCTGGCTCCATAAACATCCATAAACGTTCCATTTTAAGCACGCATTGCGAAGACTGGCCCGAGGAATGCAGGCTACCGTACAGCATCCAGCTGAGAGAAGCTTGCTGCCAGGCGGCACCATGGCCGCAAAGAAGCACCAATCCTTAGCGTAAAACAAAAGCTGTGACATGCCAAGCACTGTGAGAGCAGAAGCAAGGCCTCGTGTTCATCCCAGTTTATAGAACATGCCTGCCCTCTTTCCCATCAGCTGTTGCATGCAGAGAAACACGTCGGACCTGAGGCGCAACAGAGCCAGCACCCGGTGGTGGTGCCATACTCCATGTCAATGCGCTGACAGGCAACCGGCATTTTGTGCATTACAAATTTGCCCCAAGCTTCATTTTGGGACTTTGTCTAGAAAATGGCTTGGATCTGTTTTGTGGCTTAGAACTAGTAACTAGTTCATACTCATTTGATGTTCTACAGGGGTGGATCCACTAAAGTCGATATGATATCGATATGTGAATCCACTCGCCTGCGACGGAACTGCTTTCTTGCAGGCTAACCCTTCTGCTGAGTGCACTCCGAGCCTCTGTTTCACTTTAACTGTCAACTCTGGATGCCGATCCAGGGTTTGGTTTGGCATGCGAATTGAAACGGCATCCTGTCCGAGACAGGTGTGGCACAGAAAAGTGTGCCTGTGTCTAAGAGCCCTTGGTTTGGCGTTTGGAGGCCTAGATTACAAGAGAGAGAGAGAGAGAGAGAGAGAGAGAGAGAAAGAGAGAGAGAGAGAGAAAGAGAAGAAGAAAACAGTGCATGTGTGACACTGCGTGTCGAAGTTGCCAGCTTCTGCTTTGGCCCAAGCGGGGTAAATTTGTTTGCAGGAGTTGCAGCTTTCGTGGTGTACGTGGATATTAAAGTCAAGTTTTAAGCAAACATGTTGCCCGCATGTGAGAGAAAGAGATCACAAAGCGGATGTCTCCAGTAGCAGTGTCCTCAGTCAACAAGCTGTAGTGCCGGCGTCAAATGACTTGGCATTAAAAGCATTCATGCTTGCAAGCAGTTCAGACGTCACGAGCTCGCAACCCCCATAGCCATGGCTATGTGCTTGGAGCGTTTGAATGAGCACCACGCGCAATTGCTGAGGAAGCAAGGTTGGTTCGTGCTGGATGACTTTTTGTCAGAAGTTGCTGCTGAGTCCTTGCACAGTGAGATTTTGGAAGCAGCAAAGGCAGGCAAGCTGCAGCAGCACCGCTTTCAGTTTGGTTCCAGTACCTTCGAGAAGCCGCATATTTTTGAGGCTGACCTCCACGATGCTGCAATGCAATCGGCACTTCCGTCATTTGCAGACCTCTTCTTTGACGACGCTTTGTCAAAACGCCTGGACGCGATACTTCCAGAGCTGGCCCTGGAGCAGGGCCTAAAGTGGAAAACGATAAAGGTTCAATTCAACTCGGGCCAGGGTGGCTGTTTCCCATGCCACTACGACAACTCAGGACGCCCTAGCAACAGGAGTATCACCTGCCTGGTGTATTTGAATCCGTGCTGGAAGATCGGAGATGGAGGCGAGTTGGTTTTGCATCCGTTCTTAGACTCTCAAGTGATCATTGCTCCGCTGATGGGACGTGCAGTCTTTTTCAAGAGTGACCTAGTGCTGCACTCGGTCAGGCCTGCAATCTCTGAAAGGCTGTGTTTTACCATTTGGGTGGATAGCTCAATCACCAACCATGATTCTGACTGCAACCTCACTGCCCAGTTGGTGAAAGCGCAGCCAGAGACAGTCAGTTTGTTACGACGCAGTCCGGTTCAGCGGGCTGTGTCACGGGCTGTTTATGCTGAGGAGTATGAAGACTCGCTTGTTGCGTGCATGATGGGCGGTGCTGGAAGCGAGGAAATGTTGGCGGGACACCGCGGGCATGTGGCCCAGCAAGCTCGCCATCCCTTGCTCGGACCGTTTGTCACTTATCTACGAGATCTAAAGGTAGAGGATGTTGTGCATGTCACGCAGAAGCTTGGCAGTGCGGAGAAGACAGAAGTCGAATCGGAAACAATGACAAAAAGCAGCATTCCAGTAAGATTGTAGGATGTCCAAGGTCTGCTCCCGATGCGTTCTTTGACACTTGTCTTGAAGCTTGTCTTGCAAAACTTGCCAGAGGCTGAGGGGTTGTGTTTCGGGGCGTGCAAAAAGCAACAAACCCAAACACTTCTGAAACGATTGCAACAATTGTCATGGCGTCGCGAAGTGAGCCATTGCCAAAGCGCACGTCGCATAGTGTCGCATGCTGCACTTGAACCGACAAATAGCATTTATTTACGAGCTGCGCTGCGCGGAGATCTGTTTGCCCAACCACCGCCGCTGTGGAAACAATTGTCGACTAGATGCTGGGCTTTACTCAGCAAAAGGCTATTTTTGACTAAATCCCGGCGATGTCAACCACATAAGCATGTTCCAGGGTGGAATCGAGCCCGGAAAGGTGGCCAAGAACCCTTGAAAAATGCTTGTATGATCCAAAGTATAGTGCAAAGCTACACAGGCAATATCCCCAGCAACCCAACGCGCACCATTTTCCCGTTTTGGTCCATATATAGTCAAGGCCACAACGGTTAACCGTGAACCTTTCATTTCCATGTCGTCCTTTGAGCCAAGTGAGAATTGAAAGCAAGTTCAAAACGAGAGTACACTAAATTTGGCATTACGGAAGGATTAGATAATCAGTGCAGCTGCTCTTTCGATTGATTTTGATGAGTAGGAAGTGAGGTGCATATAGATATAATATAATGTGTATATATATAATATGGTATTGTTGTATTGTTGGATATTATGTTTTGAAATTTTGAAAAGGCAAGTTAATATATGTTGTGTTAAAAAAAAAAAAAAAAAAAAAAAAAAAAAAAAAAAAAAAAAAAAAAAAAAAACTGAGAATATTATAATAGGAAAACAGTTGTTTACACATATATATGTATATTGCATAATTTATCCACAGAAAGGTTGGGGCGGATCAAATTGCGGTCAGCCGGCAAGAACTCGGGCAGCTGGAGCCACTGTATGAAGGTTTTCCGGTCCACACTGGTGCTCCGCCTTAAGGCTTCGAACCTCGGCAAAGCGAGTGCGACCCAACGAGGCGATGCGAGATTCGAGCGGCGTTTTTCTGGCAAAGTTCCCTCCCTCTGAAACCCAACGGAACCCACGAAGCTTCATGTTTCGGCGTCAAAGGGAGCCAGGTGCGTTCAGGGGAAGCCCGAAGCTTTCTGCTTTTGGTGCTCTTTGCTAATCATGGAAACGTTTGCTTGTTGTGACTTGGGTCCAATAGGCTGGTGGAGCAGTTCTCTGTCAGCTTGGACGGGGACCCCATAATGCTTAATCCCTTCAGACAGCCCTGCGCCATAAACATTTACAAGACCAGGAACGGCAGAGGAACCACCAGCAATGCACACGTAGCAATACACACGTACGGCACCTCAACCCAAAGCACCCCAAAGTATATTTTTTCTTTTTGAATTTGGATTAAGGGTTTCCGTGCACGTCCGGCCCTAGGTTTTTCTTTATTAGGAGAGTGTGTTTTCTGGCCTCGCCAGAAGAGCTTCTTCAAACGCGGTAGCAAATTCAGACCCGATTCCATGTGAAGCAGGGGTCACTGGATTTCCCCTTCACGAGTTGAGCAATTTATTGGTGATGTCCATTGAAATTGCCACTTTTGGAGGCTCTAGAAAGGGACATGGAGGAAACCCTCTTCAACCCATTGATTCCAGCATAAACAAGCTCAACCTGGCCAAAATCTTTGGCTATTGTGGGGATGACAGGTTGGGCGAATCCTGGTATGAGCCATCCCTCAAACGCATAGCATCTACATATCCTGCAACAAGGCTGTTCCTGTGAAAAGTAAAGGCTGATGATGTCTAAATAAAGTTGCTCTGAAGCAATTTCACCAAACAGAAAAGCAAAGATGACCATTTAGACAGAGGATACAAATTTCTAATTGGTCTAAGGAAGCAAGGATGCCCAAAGTATTTGGCTCCAGTTCTGAAAGCTGATTTGTTTGTGCTTTGTTTTGCTTATGTAGGATTTGGCACCTCTTTGACCATGGCTATGTTCCGCATAGAACTAAGCCTCGAATCCGCGGAAAGAAAGCGATGCGTTAGGATAGCCAAATATTATTTAATGAATAATTTAAATGTTAGAATTATTATTTTATATATTATTTCAATTTTATTGATTTATATTATTTTTATGGAAATGATAGGAAATTCTAAAGAAACAAATATGATATACATTTATAAAATATAAATATTATTTAAGTATATGGTTATGTAGTTTGATTAAATTATGATAATTTATACATGTGGTATTGAGGAATTATTGATTATTTTGTTGAATTAATATATTAGAATAAATATATAGGAAATATATAGCAATACATTATAATAGGATTTTTTATAATTATATTGAATTAGTGAAAATATATTTGATGATTTATATTATTTTATTTTTGATTTTGAAATAATTGATTTGATTAATAGTGAATGGTTTAATTATATTTAGTATTATGTATATAAATTAATAATATTGAATATGTAAATTAATATTTATATTTTTGGAAATATATTATATAGAATTTATATATATATATATATTGGTTTGATTATTTAATGAATTAATTATTTTTGATTGAATTTTGATATTGATTTTTTAGAAAGTTTGTTTTTTTGATTGTGTGTATTTGTTTGGGTTGTATGATAGGGATTGATTTTGAGAGAAAGATAATAATTTGATTTTTTGTAATAATTTATTTAATAATAATGTATTAAATTATTTTTTTGGAATTATATTATGGATAATAATATAAAATGTTGAAAAATATGAATATATTAAAACCGATACGAATAAAAAATATATATTTATTATGAATTTATTCTTCTTGGGATAAATAATGGGTAGCATAATAATGATATTCTGAACGAAATATGTCGTTCGAGATAATTTTATTTTTTGGGCGATTGGTGGTAAATTAAAATAAAAATTAATTTATTTAATTTAAAAAAGATTTTCAAAAATAAATATTGTAAAAAAATAAAAATAAAATAATTTTATATAATTTATAAAAATTAAATAAAATAATAAAATAATTTAATATATTTTAATTATATTAAAAACAATAATAACAATAATTATTTCTTATTTAATAATATGGATTTTTAAATTATGTTTTACAATTATCTATTATATTAATTTATTTTTAATTATATGTAATGAAATAAAGAAATAAATATTCAAACAACATATTAATAGAAAATAAATCAATTTTATATAAATATGTATATACTAGAGAGATCCCGTTAATTCCATCAACGATAATAACAACAAAAGAATCAAGTCGGAAGGAATAAAAAGAAAGAGAAAGAAAGAAGAGAGATAAAAAAATAAATAAACGGAAAAAAAAAAAGAAAGCAAACAAAAAAGAAAAAAACACAACAATAAGAAAAGAAAGAGAGAGAGAAAGAAAAAAAATAAGAGAAAAAAAAAGAAAGAGAGAGAAAGACCCATGGCAGGAGGAATTGTTGCGAGCGGATATGCCCGAGGTTCCCCAAAGCACCTCCGACCCCGGGAGCAACCAGCCAATGCCCTAACAAGACCTGGGCAAATTATCCCTCATCCTGTGGGCGAGAAAATAACACTAAGGAGAAAAAGAAAAAGAGGAAGCAAAAAGAAAAAGAGGAAACAAAAAGAAAGAAAGAAAAAATGTTTTTTTTTAAAGAATATTTTTATTTTTTTTTTCGAGAGAAAAAGAGAAAGAGAGAGAGAGAGAACGAGACAGAAAGAGAAGAAAAGAGAGAGAAAAAAAGAAGAAAGAAAGAGAGAAAAAAAGAAAAAAAGAGCAAAAGAAAGAAAGACATAGAAAGAGAGAAAGAGAGAAAGACAGAAAGAGAGAAAGAGAGAAAGAGAGAAAGAGAGAGAGAGAGAAAGAGATAAAGAGAGAAAGAGAGAAAGAGAGAAAGAGAGGGAAGTAAATAAGCAAGCAAAAATAATGGTAGAAACAAAAAAAAATATAAAAAGAGCAATAGAAGAAAGCGGAATTTAAAAGGGGGAGATGCGGCACACGACAACGCGAAAGTGTATTATCTTTGTACACCGACCCGCAAAAACAAGTGCAAACAAACAAAAAGATAGAGATAGATAGATATTAATAATCAGAAAGAGACAAAAAGACGCAAAAAAAATAGAGACGAACAACCGACACGAACACATAGAAACAAATAGAGACAAACCGAGACAACCCGAGAGACAGAGAGACACAGACACACAAATAGAGACAGAGAGGCGCAAACACCAAGAAGAAACAGATTGGGATAAACAAAGATACACAAAAATAGACAGAGATTACGAAATAAATAGATACAGACACAAGGAAACAGACTGCGAAATACAGAGAGAGGCAAAGACACGAAGACACCTAATCGAAATTTCGATTCGAACAAGACCCCCAAATTTTCCCGAAATTTGGCCCGATAATGTTTTCGGAAAATCTGAAAAAAAAATGGATGGGAGCACCGTCCGAAAACCTAAGAACCGCGTCGCCGGAAACAACCCAAAATTCGTGCAAAAAAATTGGCCGGGTTACGCCGCGGGAATTCTAAGCAGAGTTGTTAAACATCCGAAATTTCAAAATTTCGGGGCTTTCCGGGTCGCGCAAAGAAGCGGGAGCTTGTACCACGGAAAAAAAGACCGGCACAAACATAACTGTTCGCCGCAAGCACGCAAGCACGACAATTCGGCCAGCTTGCCAGTGCACGACAAATACAATCTCGAGATTCTACCGTTTTATAACAAAATATTTAATAATATAATATTAATTCAAATTCATTCAAAAAAAATAAAAAATATAATATATATATATATAACAATATTATAAATATTAAATTATTCATTCTTTCAAAATTTTATATTAGTTATTTCATTCCCTTATATTCCAAAAAAACAAACTATATATGTTCCAATTTTCCTTGGCCCCCACCCCCACCCCCCCCAATGGTCATGCTCAGTCGAGAAGGTACACAGTGTGGTCGTACAATCCCCCCCCCCTATGGGATGGGGGAGGGGGGACGGGGTCCATGGTTCCCATCCCCCGCCCCCCTGCAGGAATCAGGGTCGGAGTCTATAGAAGGTAACACAATATGTTTGTACAAGCCCCCCCGTCCTTCTATAGGATGGGTATGGGGGGTCTATGGTTCCCACCCAGGTAGCACAGTACGACCGTACAAGCCCCCCCCGCCCTCTCTGTAAGATCCCTCCGTACAACCCCGCCTCTGTGAAGGATACGTGGGGGTCTATATTCCCCATCCCCCCTCTCCCCCTTGCGTAGGAATGGTATATAAAACGCAGATAGTAGCCCAATAAAACAATACACGGTGCATGGTCCCCCGCCCCTACTAGACCATACCATTCTGGGAAGGACTAAGAGAAACCACGATCTACTATATATAAATATATATATATATATAGAAATCATTCAATATGTTATATATCTATAATATAACCAAATTATTAAACCCCATACATTTCTTAATTAATAAATTATATAACATAAATATTTTATTTTTAATAAAAAATCTTTGCCAGTCTCCTATTTTCTATTGTAATTCTTCTCATATTCTATATATTTCATGTTTTTTTCATTTATTCCATTCCAATTATATTTCATTCATATATTCATTTCATCATCCATTTCATCTCATTTCATTTCATTTCATTGCATCCCATCCATTCATCCATTTCATCAATTTCATCCATCCATTTCATCTCATATCATTTCATCTCATCTCATTTCATCTCATCCCATTTCATCAATTTCATCTAATCTCAATTCATCTCAATTCATCTCAATTCATCTCATCTCATCTCATCTCATCTCATCTCATCTCATCTCATCTCATCTCATCTCATCTCATCTCATCTCATCTCATCTCATCTCATCCTCATCTCATCTCATTCATCTCATCTCATCTCATCTCACTCATCTCATCTCATCTCATCTCATCTCATCTCATCTCATCTCATCTCATCTCATCCATTCGTCCATCCATTTTCATCCATCCATTTCATTCATTCATTTCATTCATTTCATTCATTCATTCCATTCCTTCCATTCCTTCCACTCCTTCCTTCCCTTCCATTCCTTCCTTCCTTCCTTCCTTCCCTTCCTTCCCTTCCTTCCCTTCCTTCCCTTCCCTCCCTTCCTTCCCTTCCTTCCCTTCCCTTCCTTCCTTCCTTCCCTTCCTTCCTTCCCTTCCCTTCCTTCCCTTCCTTCCCTTCCTTCCTTCCCTTCCTTCCCTTCCTTCCCTTCCTTCCCTTCCTTCCCTTCCTTCCCTTCCTTCCCTTCCTTCCCTTCCTTCCCTTCCTTCCCTTCCTTCCCTTCCCTTCCCTCCCTTCCCTTCCCTTCCTTCCCTTCCTTCCCTTCCTTCCCTTCGTTCCGTTCCTTCCCTTCCTTCCCTTCCTTCCGTTCCTTCCCTTCCTTCCCTTCCTTCCCTTCCTTCCCTTCCTTCCCTTCCTTCCCTTCCTTCCCTTCCTTCCGTTCCTTCCGTTCCTTCAATTCCGTCCATTCCGTCCATTCCTTCCATTCCTTCCATTCCTTCCATTCCTTCCATTCTGTCCATTCCGTCCATTCCGTCCATTCCTTCGATTCCTTCCATTATTTCCATTCCTTCCATTCATTCATTCATTCCATTCATTCCATTCATTCCATTCATTCCATTTATTTTATGTATTTCATTCAGTTCATTCATTTCATTCATTTCATTCCATTTCATTTCATTTCCCTTTCATTCCATTTATTTCAATTCAGTCCAATTCAGTTATTTATTCATTCATGCACGCATCCATTTAGTCATCCATTCCATCCATCCATCCATCCATTCATCCATCCATCCATCCATCCATCCATCCATCCATCCATTCATTCATTCATTCATTCATTCATTCATTCATTCATTAATTCATTCATTCAATCAATTCATCCATTCATTCATTCATTCATTCATTCATTCATTCATTCATTCATTCATTCATTCATTCATTCATTGATTTTATCGATTCATTAATGCATTCGCTCGCTCGCTCGTTAATTAATTTATTTATTCATTTATTGTATGTTATTTCATTTTATTTTATTATTTCATGTATTCATTTAATTTTATTCATTCATAGGTTTTATTATTTTCTTTTTATCTCGTTCCATTCCATTATATTCCATTCCATTTATTTGTTTATTTATTTAATCGGCGAACGCTGCGAAAACGAGAGGCTTAGCACGGCGAAAGCAAGAAACCGAGGAAAATGATTTCGATAAATTGCAACAACGTTTATGCTAAATTGTGGTAAGTTTATTACAAAGGACTAGAATGGCAAAAGCGGCGAAAATAGGATGGCGAAAGCGAGAAAAATGTCGAAAATGACGAAAACAACGAAAACGAAAAAGGGCGAAATTGAGCACTAGCAGTTTGCCCGGTTTTAAGTTATCTCGTTTTTTGGTGCTTCTTTTTGCGTTATTCGGCTGGCCTACAGCGCGCAATTGAACTATTTAGGAGACTAAAACCGCCGCAATTTTAATGCCCCGATTGTCCAAGTAGTATTATGCTACTCTATACTATCGATCAAGGAATTGCAAAAGAAGCTCAGGTGAAATCCCCAGCAGCATACGGTGCTCTTTCTAGTGCTCGCACCATCCCGTAGCCCTCGCAGAACCTCGTGAACCCTCGTGGAACCCTGGTGGAACCCTGGTGGAACCGTCGTGGAACCCTCGTGGAACCCGTAGAACCTGACCTCAGGGCCGCCCCGGACCACCCCGGAGCCTATCTGGGCTGAGACCCCAAAGCTTTCAGCTGTTGCAGGAGAAAAACAAACATTCCCCATCTTTTACCATCAAGAAATCAATAAATAACACAATTTATTTGCAATAATCAAATTATTATTTAATATTAGTGTTTCCAAATTATCTAAAATGTTAATCCAATAATATTTATACAAATCAATATTTAAAATATTAATAACAAAATAAATTCATAAGTAAATCTGTTCTAAATAGCAAAAGAAAAAGAACAAGTTTCCATATTCCTAAATACCCAAACATGATTATATATATATATATGTATTATTTACCAATTCTCCAATAAATCCAAAATTATATTATATACAACAATGTCTCACCCTCCCCCCCCCAAAAAAAAAAAAAAATAAATAAATAAATATTGTTGTTTGTGTCTTTTAAGATGATAAAACAATCATTCACTATATCAATATTGTATATAGGAATATGTTCAAATGAAAAAAACAATGTTTCATTTTTGTTTTTTTGTTTTTTTGTTTTTTTTTTTTTTTTAACTTGTTTGAATCAATAGCCAATTCATCAGTAGTATTGAATCGTTTCGTTCGATATCTGGGACAAGTTTTTGAAAATGGCGCGCCGAATGAATCCAGCTCCCCCCTTGCCAAGACAGCCTCGCTGCCTTCAAGATTACGCAAGGGCAAGCGTCAAAAAGGTTGCGAATTCGAGGCACAGCCCCGTGAAACGCCGTGAAACCTGAGCCCTGGCATGGGATCGATCCCCGCGGGAAGAAAGGCCGGCGATGCACAAGTCATTCCCATACCAGGGTCAAAGCACAAGTTGGCTACGCCAAGAGTTGGCTCTTCAACTGCTCGGCTCTGGCATTGGTGAAGCAGTTCTCTCCAGCTTGGGCTGAAAGGGGATGCACATTTGCCTTTAAGCGCATGGCCGTCTAGTCCGAACAGCTCCTCAGCCAATACAAGGCCGAGATGCACCAAAAACGCGCAAGAAGGCACAAGAGGTGTGTCCTGCTCAGTCCCTTCACTTGCCAAATTCTGGCAGAAGATTGAGCAGCCTACTTTAAACAATGCCTGACAAGTGAAACGAAGCTTCACGTTTTTAGCACAGCCGCCTCACGGCATGGTGACTTCTGCACACCGGACTCAAGGGCGCTCCTGCCTTTGCAGCTGCGGCTGCCGCTGGTTCGGCAGCCTGATGCACCAGCGCTCCACGTCTCACCGCCATGCCCTCTGAGGCGCCAACTCCTGTGCAGGCCGTTGCACCTCGCCGGACTTCTTGCCGCGAAAGCAGCGACTGGCAAACCTTTAAGGCTCCCGCTTGTTGCGGGGTTTGAACAAGTGAAGGACTGTGTCGTTGTGGTGGCGCCGACGCTGCCACGGCTTGCAGGATGAAGTGGGATGGGGATGGTGCTCCTTTGCTTGTGCCATTGCCAGGATGTGATTCATTCACATTCTGCTGTCTCATTTGTTCAGGCATGTCAATATAGGGCAGCACTGGGGATGGACATCCACTTCTATAATTCTGCAAAGGTTCTTGCCGGAATTGCAGTTGGCACTGGCGTTGGCCCTCCCCACGCAGCAACCTCAAGGGTGGGTGGGGGGCATGACGCCTGCTGCTAAAGGCAGCCATCATTTGCTTGTCTTCCCATTTGGGCGCTTGAGATCTTGGAAACAACACCAAGATTGATAGTGCAATCAAGGCACGTTTGAAGCCGCCGTTGGTCCTGCAAAGCTCCTGTGGCCAAGAAGGTAATCAATTTCTTGTTCATACCGAGATTGGCGGGCAAGGGGCCTTCGTTCCAACATGGGCTCATGCAGCCAAACGTCGACAACCTTGCAAGTCGCACTGCTGACTGCACAAACACGAGGCAATGGCTTGGGCGGGCACGCGGTGGTCTGGAACGCGGCACGGTGACCCTTGTGGGCTCCTGAAGCGCCTTAGAGGGCTGGCTGATTTGTGCAACCAGAAACCTGCGATCTGACGTGTGCAATCAATTGAAATCCTTAAGGCCTTCACACTGGGCTTCGCTGCATGCACGGGCCTGCGCAGCACGTCTGCTCAAAATCTGGGTACGCCAGGTGCCGCACACCTGGACTTTGCACCCTTGGTGTTTGAAGAGGGGAAGCTGCCATCGTTCGCATCCATGGCTGCGGCGCAGGAAGCGTCTGGCATAGGTGCCACTGCGAAGGCGCCGACTGCGCGCCATCGAAGGAACGTGCAGACCTGGAGGGTGAAAACTCCAATCCGCTGGCAGTTCTGCCAGGAAATGGTCCCGGTGAACGAGCGGCATGAAGGGCTTGTTGACAAGACTCTTGAGCTTGCACGGCAAGTTCTGTCCATGAAGGCGGTCCCAACCGAACGGCTGCTGTGCAGCACCATGGGGCTGCCGTGTCTCTCCCCCCAACTGTCCATCCGCGGCATCGCGTAGTCCGAGGAGGAATGCCTGCGGAGGACCAAAAGCCGCAAAACATGCCCAGAGAGCGGTCAAATATGTGTCACATTGCTTGCTCCTCAAGAATATCCAAGCTTAAGATTTCGCTCTCCCAGTCAGTTTGGAAGTTTGGCTGTTTGAGGGTTACCACTCAAATCCTGGTTTTGTTTGCCCTGTAACTTTGATCCATCAGCTGCCTGATGTGGGCTCCCCGCGCAAACGGTTCGTCTGGAACTCGACCACCGTGCAGCATTGGTGTGCTCTGCATCCGGCTTGCAGTGCCGGGTGTATGTGGAGCACCCCAAGCAATGGGTGAGGGGCTCGCAGTCGGGAGGTCTTGCCGCCTGAGGTCACACAAGCTGCACTGCCAAACGCGTCCTGTCTGAGGCAGGCACTGCCTTGCTTTGACTTTGGCAACTGTGGCAACTGCGGCAATGACTGCTCTGCTGGGTGGCCTGAGCTGACAGCCCCTTCTTTTTTCTTGGCGCACGCACAAAGGAAAAAGGAGAGAGGCAAGGTGCCCTGGAGGACCTGGAGAGGGTGCACGTCTAGTATCCTTGGTTCGGTTTCTGCTTGCAAGCCTTGCCTGCTGGGATAGGGAACTCGTCAACTTGTCGCTTTGCAAGTATCATGCGTCAGGTCCAGCAGCGAAGCAAGCCAAACACTGAGGTCATGAGCCCTTGCTATGAGTGTTGCGACTGTTGCACAGATCCGGAAATGCCAAGCAGCATAAGCCGCAAAAGGGCCTGGCAGCGAGCTCCTGGCAGTTGCATACAAAAATTTTGCTTTTGACAACGTGCGTGGCTGACGCAGGCAGTCCTAGGACCTCCCTGGCAAGCCTGTGGAGTTGGGTTCGCATCCTGGCGCTTCCACTTGTCAGAAGCCAGACCCCACAGCACCTTCTGGGCAGCTTGCACATCTCTACATCCAACTTCATGTGAAACAAAAGGCTCTGGAAGAGTCGCAATGGTCGTCGAAGCGCTGGGTGCCAAGTAGCATCTAGCAGCTCAAAATGGGTGGTGAGAAAAGGTGTGTGTGTGTGTGTGTGTGAGTAGCGACTCCTGAGTAGTGACACGGAGGAGCGAGCAGCGAGATGCGGAGAGTGAGGAGCTAGTAGTAAGTAGTGAGGCGTCAATGGCCGGTAGCCAGTTGCTCGTAGTTAGTAGTTGCAGCACTGGGGCCAATTGCGCTGGCAGTCCAAAAGGGAGTGCAATGGCTTCTCTCTTGCCGTGCATCATTGCAAGCCACCATGTCCATCAGCAGCTGCACCCGCCTCCCATGATTCAGGCGCATGTCCTGCATGTGTGGAGGATCTTGAGCTCGCATCCTGGAGTTCCTGACGGTGACTGTTCTAAAGTTGAACCGCAAAACTCTCCACATGGGTGTGTATCCGATTTTCCTTTGAACAAACCTCTGCAAGGGCACCTTCACAAAAGACACACCCACGTAATCAATTCTAGGTGCCAGCGTCAGCCAGCAAGAATAGAACAGATTCTACGCACGAATTTCAAGTTGCGCCTGCAACCTCGCTTGTGTTGCTGGAGGAACTGCAGGCCCGCCAACAGTCAAAGAAACTGAGCTTGGCCGCTGCTCCAATGTGCTCAATTCCAACTGAGCATATTCAGGCTGCTTTGGCTTCGCCTTGGAAAGGAGTGACGGTTGCAACAACGGGATGAAAGCGAATGGTCTGGGGCTCCAAGCCCGACATCGGGGCAGCTCTATCGAATGATCAACTGCTTCAATGGTATGGCGAGGCTGCTTCACTTCAGCCCTCATTCGCCTCACCAGGAAGCAGACAGGCTCAAGCAAACAGCGCCCACCCCTGCCTGGCATTTTCACCTGCAGATTCTGCTTCTGGCCTGGCCCGAGGTCACGGACTGGACAGCAAGGGTCTCATGACAGGATGACAGGGACCTCTGGCTCAGCACAGCTTCACGCTTCTCGGCAGCTTTCTCAATCACCTTGCCCCATGCACGACAGCGCAATGATCCAAGCGTGTGCGTCTTGAACAGCCCATGGCTACCCAGCCTGGCCACGTGTCGTTGTGGTCGCCTCACACGATCCTTGCAGGCCACCTTCTGCAACCTCTTGCGGGGGTTCAACTCTCTCTGAAGAGGCTTGCTTTGCAAGTCTTTCGCGCTCAGCCCTCCTCACATGCGCCAGGACAGCCTCTCTGGCTCTCTGCAGGCGCTCATCTGCTTTGGCGAGCTCGGCTGCTTTTGCCTGCACATCCTCGTGCGCTCTCTCAGCCTCTGCTGCTGCTACTCTGACAGGATCACTTGGCTCAGCCATCGCCTCCAAAGCCAGGCTAGGGGGTGGTTCTACGCATACGAGCAGGCAAACAGCCTGCCCTTCAGAGCATGCTCACATCATCCACATGTCGCCTTATGCCTTGGGGACTATTTCCGGAAACTATTAGCACCCACTCTGCATGCCTTCGCCCAGTGCAGTCTGCGCACGTATGATTATGCATTGTTGGCCCTAGCATCATACCGGGGGGCCACTCTTGCGTTGTGCAATTTAGGCTGGCCACCCGCAGAAGACACAGCATCCTTCGTAAGGCCTTGATATGCGCGACATGACAATTGCGGGACCGCAGTCCCAGCAGATTTGCTCCATCCCTAGAACAAGCGCACCCGTCCGCCCACCAGACACATACCAATGCAAATCCCAAATCTTACATACCTCCTCCATTCCCCGCGGCGTATCGCAAGGCGTGCCCAACGGACATTTGACAGTTGACCAGCTGTCAATTCAGCCCAAAGGACACATATTGTCAAGGGATAGGTTCCAGCGCAGTTCCAACAAATCCTGGCCATCTCTCAGTATATCTTTCTGCTGCTGCTGCTGCTGCTGCTGCTGCTGCTGCTGCTGCTGCTGCTGCTGCTGCTGCTGCTGCTGCTGCTGCTGCTGCTGCTGCTGCTGCTGCTGCTGCTGCTGCTGCTGCTGCTGCTGCTGCTTTCTGCTGCTGCTTTCTGCTGCTGCTTTCTGCTGCTGCTTCTGCTTTCTGCTGCTGCTTCTGCTTTCTGCTGCTGCTGCTGCTTTGTGCTGCTGCTGCTGCTGCTGCTGCTGCTGCTGCTGCTGCTGCTGCTGCTGCTGCTGCTGCTGCTGCTGCTGCTGCTGCTGCTGCTGCTGCTGCTGCTGCTTTCTGCTGTTTCTTTCTTCTTCTTCTTCTTCTTCTTCTTCTTCTTCTTCTTCTTCTTCTTCTTCTTCTTCTTTTTCTTCTTCTTCTTCTTCTGCTGCTGCTGCTGCTGCTGTTTTTTCTTCTTGCTCTTCTTCTTGCTCTTCTTCTTGGTGCTTGCCGTCGTCAGTGTCAACTGTGATGCTGTTGCTCATTCTTGGTCGTTGTAGGATGTAGTTGCTTATTGTAGGATGTTGTATTTGGTTTAATCTTGCTTTACAATTTCGTTTCTTCGCGTACGTTCTTCTATTGTAGTTTCAGGTCGCTTTGCTTTTTCGGCTATAGGATGCGCCGTTGTATGTTTCTGTGTTGTGTGCTTCCGCGGCACTGTTTCACTAGCGTTTCGAAGGAGGCGCCGGAAGAAAGCCGGACGCCATTTATCTTCCAACTTCAACGGGGGCAGCAGAAATACTTGGCTGTTTGTATTTTTGATTACCAAACATTTGGCTGAAATGCACCGGCAAGAGACCCCAAACAGTGGCCAAAAAGCGAGACACGAGCCAATGAGAGCATCATGAAAGTCGTCGCAGCCGACGCACGCAGGGTTTCTATAGGAGGTCCCGCGTGCGCTCTTCAACATGAAGCCTTCTGAAGCTCCTATAGAAGATATTCTGTCCAACCTTGGGATAATAGGATCCCTTCATAGGATCTGTTGGCAAGATTTGCAAGCAGGATCCATGAGAGGACCCTGTAAAAGTTGAAGCTCTTTGTCATGATCTACAGGATCTCTTTCAAGAGTTTTTTTGCAGGTCGTGTACTTCGATGATTGTAATTTGCACCGTGCCACGGCGAGAGATATCCGACCCACCCAAAGTGCGCAGAGGGTTCACTTTCGATGTTCCGAAATCCGACCCACACAAAGCCCGGGTTCGCCAATCAACCATCTTCGGAATTCTCACGGCACCGCGGCGAGAGCACACCATCAAAACACGCCAAACTCGTCCCACCACTTTGTGCGAGCCTGCGCAGTCGAAATGCACGTGAACATCTCACAAGGCGACTTTTCTACGTAAATACCACGAAAAACGGTCCGGCTCAGCCAGAACCCCTTAGTCGTAGCACACTGTATGGGGAACAAAAGCATGGACAGCATGGACAGCCCCTTTCTGTTGCTTTGCCCGCCTCTGCTTCTGGATTCCTCCCCGCTAGCCTTCGGCCACCTACTGCAACCTTCGGCTCGTACTCTGCCTTGGGCTCTTCAGCAGTGCTCGGCTCTTCCTGCTTTGGCTGCTCAGCAGTCGGCAGCTCCGCCTCGGCCCTGGGTTTCGGTTCTTCCTCTACCTTGGGTTCTGCCCTGGTCAGCTCTTCCTCAGCAGCCTGTAGCTCCGCCTCAGCCTTGGGAACTTCTGCCACCTTCGGCTCTTCCTCTGCCTTGGGATCTTCAGCGGTGCTCGGCTCTTCCTGCTTTGGCTGCTCAGCAGTCGGCAGCTCCGCCTCGGCCCTGGTTTTCGGCTCTTCCTCTACCTTGGGCTCTGCCCTGGTCAGCTCTTCCTCAGCAGCCTGTAGCTCCGCCTCAGCCTTGGGAACTTCTGCCTTCGGCTCGTCCTCTGCCTTGGGCTCTTCGGCAGTGCTCGGCTCTTCCTGCTTTGGCTGCTCAGCAGTCGGCAGCTCCGCCTCGGCCCTGGGTTTCGCTTCTTCCTCTACCTTGGGTTCTGCCCTGGCCAGCTCTTCCTCAGCAGTCTGTAGCTCCGCCTCAGCCTTGGGAACTTCTGCCACCTTCGGCTCTTCCTCTGCCCTGGGCTCTTCAGCGGTGCTCGGCTCTTCCTGCTTTGGCTGCTCAGCAAACGGCAGCTCCACCTCAGCTTTGGGCACTTCTGCCACCTTCGGCTCTTCCTCTGCCTTGGCTTCTGCCCTGTGCAGGTCTGCCTCAGCCTTGGACACTTCCGCCACGGACGACTCGTCCTCTGCCTTGGCCTGCCCAGCGGTGAGCCCTTCCTGCTTTGGCTCCTGAGCAGTCTGCAGCTCCGCCTCGGCCTTGGGAACTTCTGACACCTTCGGCTCTTCCTCTGCTTTGGGACGTTCGGCAGTGCTGAGCTCTTCCTGCTTTGGTTCCGCAGCAGTCTGCAGCTCCGCCTCGGCCTTGGGAACTTCTGCCGCCTTCAGCTCTTTCTCTGCTTTTGGCTGCAGCCCTACCTCGAACTTGGGCAATCCTGCCACCTTTGACTCTTCCTCTGGCTCGGGCTCTTCAGGGGTCCTCAGCTCTTCCTGTTTTGGCTCCTGTGCAAGCTGCAGCTCCACCTCGGCCTTCGGCACTGCTGCAACCTTCGGCTCCTCCTCTGCTGTCGGCTCTACAGCAGTCCTCCGCTCTTCATGCTTTGGTTCCGCAGCAGTCGGCAGCTCCACCTTTGGCTCTTCCGTTGCCTTTGGTTCTTCCTTTGGCTCTGACTTAGGTTCTTCGGCAGAGCTCAGCTCTTCCTGCTTTGGCTCCTCAGCAGACGCCTCGGCCTTGGGCACTTCTGCCTCCTTTGGCTCTTCCTCTGCCTTGGGCTCTTCAGCGGTGTTCAACTCTTCTTGCTTTGGCTCCGCAGCAGTCGGCAGCTCCGCCTCGGCCTTGGAAACTTCTGCAACCTTCGGCAGCTCCACTTCGGCCTGGGGCACTTCTGCCACCTTGAGCTCTTCCTCGTCTTTGGGCTGCTCAGCAGTGCTGAGCTCTTCCTGCTTTGGTCCCGCAGCAGTCTGCAGCTCCGCCTCGGCCTTGGAAACTTCTGCCACCTTCGGCTCTTCCTCTGCTTTGCGCTGCTCAGCAGTGCTGAGCTCTTCCTGCTTTGGTTCCGCAGCATCTGCTTTGGGCTGCTCAGCAGTGCTGAGCTCTTCCTGCTTTGGATCCGCAGCAGTCTGCAGCTCCGCCTCGGCCTTGGGCATTTCTGCCACCTTCGGCTCTTCCTCTGCTTTGGGCTGTTCAGCAGTTCTGAGCTCTTCCTGCTTTGGTTCCGCAGCAGTCTGCAGCTCCGCCTCGGCCTTGGGAACTTCTGCCACCTTCGGCTCTTCCTCTGCTTTGGGCTGATCAGCAGTGCTGAGCTCTTCCTGCTTTGGTTTCGCAGCAGTCTGCAGCTCTGCCTCGGCCTCGGGAACTTCTGCCACCTTCGGCTCTTCCTCTGCTTTGGGCTGTTCAGCAGTTCTGAGCTCTTCCTGCTTTGGTTCTGCAGCAGTCTGCAGCTCCGGCTCGGCCTTGGGCACTTCTGCCACCTTCGGCTCTTCCTCTGCTTTGGGCTGCTCAGCAGTGCTGAGCTCAACCTGCTTTGGTTCCGCGGAAGTTTGTAGCTCCGCCTCGGCCTTGGGCACTTCTGCCACCTTCGGCTCTTGCTCTGCTTTGGGCTGTTCAGCTGCTACCTTCGGCTCTTCCTCTGCTTTGGGCTGCTCAGCAGTGCTGAGCTCTTCCTGCTTTGGTTCCGCAGCAGTCTGCAGCTCCGCCTCGACCTTGGGAACTTCTGCCACCTTCGGCTCTTCCTCTGCTTTGGGCCGTTCGAAAGTGCTGAGCTCTTCCTGCTTTGGTTGCGCAGCAGTCTGCAGCTCCGCCTCGGCCTTGGGCACTTCTGCTACCTTCGGCGCTTCCTCTGCTTTGCGCTGCTCAGCAGTGCTGATGTCTTCCTGCTTTGGTTCCGCAGCAGTCTGCAGCTCCGCCTCGACCCTGGGAACTTCTGCCACCTTCGGCTCTTCCTCTGCTTTGGGCTGTTCAGCGGTGCTGAGCTCTTCCGGCTTTGGTTCCGCAGCAGTCTGCAGCTCGGCCTCGGCCTTGGGCACTTCTGCCACCTTCGGCGCTTCCTCTGCTTTGGGCTGCTCAGCAGTGCTGAGCTCTTCCTGCTTTGGTTGCGCAGCAGTCTGCAGCTCCGCCTCGGCCTTGGGAACTTCTGCCACCTTCGGCTCTTCCTCTGCTTTGGGCTGTTCAGCGGTGCTGATCTCTTCCTGCTTTGGTTCCGCGGCAGTCTGCAGCTCCGCCTCGGCCTTGGGCACTTCTGCCACCTTCGGCTCTTCCTCTGCTTTGGGCTGTGCAGCAGTGCTGATCTCTTCCTGCTTTGGTTCCGCAGCAGTCTGCAGCTCCGCCTCGGCCTTGGAAACTTCTGCCACCTTCGGCTCTTCCTCTGCTTTGGCCTGCTCAGCAGTGCTGATCTCTTCCTGCTTTGGTTCCGCAGCAGTCTGCAGCTCGGCCTCGGCCTTGGGCACTTCTGCCACCATCGGCGCTTCCTCTGCTTTGGGCTGTTCAGCAGTTCTGATCTCTTCCTGCTTTGGTTCCGCAGCAGTCTGCAGCTCCGCCTCGGCCTTGGGTACTTCGGCCAGCTTCGGCTCTTCCTCTGCTTTGGGCCGTTCGGCAGTGCTGAGCTCGGCCTTGGGCATTTCTGCTACCTTCGGCTCTTCCTCTGCTTTGAGCTGTTGAGAGGTGCTGATCTCTTCCTGCTTTGATTCCGCAGCAGTCTGCAGCTCCGCCTCGGCCTTGGGTACTTCTGCCACCTTCGGCTCTTCCTCTGCTTTGGGCTGTTCAGCAGTGCTGAGCTCTTCCTGATTTGGTTCCGCAGCAGTCTGCAGCTCCTCCTCGGCCTTGCGAACTTCTGCCACCTTCGGCTCTTCCGCTGCTTTGGGCTGTTCAGCAGTTCTCATCTCTTCCTGCTTTGGTTCCGCAGCAGTCTGCAGCTCTGCCTCGGCCTCGGGAACTTCTGCCACCTTCGGCACTTCCTCTGCTTTGGGCTGCTCAGCAGTGCTGAGCTCTTCCTGCTTTGGTTCCGCGGCAGTCTGCAGCTCCGCCTCGGCCATGGGTACTTCTGCCACCTTCGGTTCTTCCTCTGCTTTGGGCTGTTCAGCAGTGCTGAGCTCTTCCTGCTTTGGTTCCGCAGAAGTCTGCAGCTCCGCCTCGGCCTTGGGCACTTCTGCCACCTTCGGCTCTTCCTCTGCTTTGGGCTGCTCAGCAGTGCTGAGCTCTTCCTGCTGTAGTTCCGCAGCAGTCTGCACAGCAGTCTGCAACTCGACCTCGGCCTTGGGCATTTCTGCTACCTTCGGCTCTTCCTCTGCTTTGGGCTGTTCAGCAGTGCTGAGCTCTTCCTGCTTTGGTTCTGCAGCAGTCTGCAGCTCTGTCTCAGCCTTGGGAACTTCTGCCACCTTCGGCTCTTCCTCTGCCTTGGGCTGTTCAGCAGTGCTGAGCTCTTCCGGCTTTGGTTCCGCAGCAGTCTGCAGCTCTGCCTCGGCCTTGGGCACTTCTGCCACCTTCGGCTCTTCCTCTGCTTTGGGCTGTTCAGCAGTTCTGATCTCTTCCTGCTTTGGTTCCGCAGCAGTCTGCAGCTCCGCCTCGGCACTGGGAACTTCTGCCACCTTCGGCTCTTCCTCTGCTTTGGGCCGTTCGGCAGTGCTGAGCTCTTCCTGCTTTGGTTCCGCAGCAGTCTGCAGCTCCGCCTCGGCCTTGGGCACTTCTGCCACCTTCGGCGCTTCCTCTGCTTTGGGCTGTTCAGCAGTGCTGATCTCGTCCTGCTTTGGTTCCGCAGCAGTCTGCACAGCAGTCTGCAACTCCACCTCGGCCTTGGGCACTTCTGCCACCTTCGGCTCTTCCTCTGCTTTGGGCTGTTCAGCAGTGCTGAGCTCTTCCTGCTTTACTTTCGCAGCAGTCTGCAGCTCTGCCTCGGCCTTGGGAACTTCTGCCACCTTCAGCTCTTCCTCTGCTTTGGGCTGTTCAGCAGTGCTGATCTCGTCCTGCTTTGGTTCCGCAGCAGTCTGCACAGCAGTCTGCAGCTCCGCCTCGGCCTTGGGTATTTCTGCCACCTTCAGCTCTTCCTCTGCTTTGGGCCGTTCGGCAGTGCTGAGCTCGGCCTTGGGCATTTCTGCTACCTTCGGCTCTTCCTCTGCTTTGAGCTGTTGAGAGGTGCTGAGCTCTTCCTGCTTTGGTTCCGCAGCAGTCTCTGCCTCGGCCTTGGGCGCTTCTACTACCTTCGGCTCTTCCTCTGCCACCTTCGGCTCTTCCTCTGCTTTGGGCTGTTCAGCAGTGCTGAGCTCTTCCTGCTTTGGTTCCGCAGCAGTCTGCAGCTCCTCCTCGGCCTTGGGAACTTCTGCCACCTTCGGCTCTTCCGCTGCTTTGGGCTGTTCAGCAGTTCTGATCTCTTCCTGCTTTGGTTCCGCAGCAGTCTGCAGCTCTGCCTCGGCCTCGGGAACTTCTGCCACCTTCGGCACTTCCTCTGCTTTGGGCTGCTCAGCAGTGCTGAGCTCTTCCTGCTTTGGTTCCGCGGCAGTTTGTAGATCCGCCTCGGCCTTGGGCACTTCTGCCACCTTCGGCTCTTCCTCTGCTTTGGGCTGTTCAGCAGTTCTGAGCTCTTCCTGCTTTGGTTCCGCAGCAGTGTGCAGCTCTGCCTTGGGAACTTCTGCCACCTTCGCCTCTTCCTCTGCTTTGGGCTGCTCAGCAGTGCTGAGCTCTTCCTGCTTTGGTTTCGCAGCAGTCTGCAGCTCTGCCTCGGCCTTGGGAACTTCTGCCACCTTCGGCTCTTCCTCTGCTTTGGGCTGTTCAGCAGTGCTGATCTCTTCCTGCTTTGGTTCCGCAGCAGTCTGCAGCTCCGCCTCGGCCATGGGTACTTCTGCCACCTTCGGCTCTTCCTCTGCTTTGGGCTGTTCAGCAGTGCTGATCTCTTCCTGCTTTGGTTCCGCGGCAGTCTGCAGCTCCGCCTCGGCCTTGGGCACTTCTGCCACCTTCGGCAGCTCTTCCTGCTGTGGTTCCGCAGCAGTCTGCACAGCAGTCTGCAACTCCACCTCGGCCTTGGGCATTTCTGCTACCTTCGGCTCTTCCTCTGCTTTGGGCTGTTCAGCAGTGCTGAGCTCTTCCTGCTTTGGTTCCGCAGCAGTCTGCACAGCAGTCTGCAACTCCACCTCGGCCTTGGGCACTTCTGCCACCTTCGGCTCTTCCTCTGCTTTGGGCTGTTCAGCAGTGCTGAGCTCTTCCTGCTTTGGTTTCGCAGCAGTCTGCAGCTCTGCCTCGGCCTTGGGAACTTCTGCCACCTTCGGCTCTTCCTCTGCTTTGGGCTGTTCAGCAGTGCTGATCTCTTCCTGCTTTGGTTCCGCGGCAGTCTGCAGCTCCGCCTCGGCCTTGGGCACTTCTGCCACCTTCGGCTCTTCCTCTGCTTTGGGCTGTTCAGCAGTGCTGAGCTCTTCCTGCTTTGGTTTCGCAGCAGTCTGCAGCTCTGCCTCGGCCTCGGGAACTTCTGCCACCTTCGGCTCTTCCTCTGCTTTGGGCTGTTCAGCAGTGCTGATCTCTTCCTGCTTTGGTTCCGCAGCAGTCTGCAGCTCTGCCTTGGCCTTGGGTACTTCTGCCACCTTCGGCTCTTCCTCTGCTTTGGGCTGTTCAGCAGTGCTGAGCTCTTCCTGCTTTGGCTCCTCTGCAGTGTGCAGCTCCACCTCGGCCTTGGGTACTTGTGCCACCTTCAACTCTTCCTCTGCTTTAGGCTGTTCAGCAGTGCTGAGCTCTTCCTGCTTTGGCTCCTCTGCAGTCTGCATTTCCACTTCTGCCTTGCCATACATGCATACTTGTACTTGTGTTTTGACTAGCAAGTTTACACAAACCAAACTTACAAGCAGCCAAATTGATATAAAACGGCCTCTCGGGCTGGCCCTTATTTCTCCAGCAGCTTTCACTCAGACACAACCCTTCACATCAGCTCAGAAGCGACCCGCTGACCGCTAACCGCTGCGTCTCTGCCTTGGGCTCTTCAGCGGTCTTCGGCTCTGCCTCAGCCTGCGCTGCTTGGGGCTCTGCCTTCTCCTTTCCGGCCATGGGCTCCGAGGCTTCTGCCTTGAGCTCTTCGGCCTTTTCTTCAGCCTTCGGCTCCTCAGCTTGTTGCGCCTTGGCAGGCGTCGGCTCTGCTTCGTGCTTTTCTGCCCCTCTTTCCCCCTCTGCCTCGTGATCCTGCTCGTGGTCCTGCTCTTTGACCAAACTTGCGTTTCTGGGCGTCTCGTCAGCTGCCTTTTCTGCAGCTTGAATTTGCTCCTCCGCTTGCAGCTCTGCAGCTTGCTCGCATGCAGCCTGGCGTGCGATTGCCCCTTCTGCCTTGTCCGCCTTCTTCACCTCAGATTGCAGCGACGCCCAACATTGGCTGGTGCCTTTCTTCTTTAAACCCCAAGAGCTTAACCCTGGCACAGCCTCACCAAAACCTCACCAAAACAAAAAACGGGCAAACGTATCAAAACCAAAGAGACGAGATGCCAAAGGCTTGCCCCCGCTCTCGAACATCTGCACTACTTCGGCAACGCTCCTTGCAAACTCTTCACTTGTCATGACTTGAGGCTGTGCAGATCTGGCAGCAGCTACTTCGGCTGGCTTGGCCAAGTCTATAGCTTCTTTGGCTGCCAAGTCCTGCAAGGTATGCGAGCGCGCTGCGGCCAAATTGCAAACTTTGGAGGGAAAAACACTTTCTCAGGGGTAAGTCCTCAACACATTTACCAACCCCTGCAACGCACAGTTGTCGTTACAGTCCTGCAATTCACCATTCAGAGAACTGGGGTGCTCAAAGCTCCCCTCCACAGGTAGCTCGTAGGCGGCAGAAAGCCTCGAAATGGATCGAACTGCATCGTTTTGCCGTGCACTGAAGCACTTGTGTGACACAAAGATACTGACAGGGGTCTCCTACAAATGCTGCATACAAGTCGCTGGTCTTTGCGTACCAGCTTCTGCTCATGAAATCGCCGAACGGCGCACGTCCTGACATGCACCATGGAGCTCAATATATTCACTTTGTCTTTCCATAGTACGGAAAACAACTGCCACCAGAGCTCGTTTGAAGTGGGCAGCTGTTCCTGCTGTCCACAGCTTCTGGTGATGGCCTGTCAAGCTGACATTGCACAGCCAGCCCTATGCAGCCAAGCAAGCCACGACCGAAATATGAAGTAAATAGAAGTGAAGATGTGCGAAAGCCAAGCGTTGCACAACTCTGCACCTGGGAGCTGGAAGCTCACGCTCGGTGTCTGCGGCCGAAAGCCACACTCCGATCCGGGATTGAGCATCTGCCACCAGCCTCAGCGATGTCAGCGCGACGCAGCCCGGTGCCCGTGCCCGGTGCCGGCCAAGTAGCTGGTCAAAGGTGACCGAGGATGTGCCACCGGAACTACCTCAGACAGCCACAAAGGTCTCCCGGGTCCCACGCTGGCACGTGGCCCCGGGAGGAGAGCCGAAGCCTTCCCAGGACTGAATCATTGGACCACCAGGTTTAGGAATTTAGGAACACCGGGTTTCTTCAAGCGACACCCTGCTGCCAGTCAGGCTGCTTTCTGCTTGCTCTCGCGGGCTTGTGAGTGGAGAGTTCAAAACCTCTCCAACTGCCAGACCCTGCACGGGATGCACGCAAGTTCGCTCAGCCACCGCCCTAGTCTTTTTCCCCACGCCTCGTCTGCAGCACACTTGGACAAGTAGCGGTGAAGCTTTTCTGGTGTTTCCATCAGGCGCAGCACGCGCCAAGCTTACAAAATCCCCCCCCCCAGGTGTTATCCCACCTTGTTCATGGGGCAATATATTAGCTTGCGAGCTGTGTCTTGGCGGCATCGACTCGCGCATAAAAAGCCGGCCGATGCCCTGCTGAGCCCCCAAGAAGCGCACAGACTGGCCGGTGCTGCGACGACAAGTGTTGCAAAGCCAGCATGGAGCACCCAAGGAACACGAATCCCCGCTCTGCGCCTTCGGCCACTCGGATTCTCACTCAGAATTTGGGTGCTGCGTGCGAGCACCGCTGTACAATTTGCGCATGCCCGGACCCGGCACGTGCACACACCGTAGGAAATGAAGCTTCCCAATGTGAAGCTCTCATGGGAATTGAATTCTTGAATTACGGCGCGCGAGGCCACTGGCGCGGCACGCCTGTTTTCAACCTGAAATGTGCGCTGGCAATATTCCTCAGCATGCCAAGGTGTTCACAAAAAGGACGCAGTGAACTACACACTGCAAAGCCTTCTGCCTTCCGGGAATCAATTAGCCAGGCACTGCAACTTCCGAGTCACATGATAAACTGATCTGATTCAGAATGACTTGGCTATTGTGCATTGAGCATACCCACAGGCTGACAGCCTCCGTCCTCTCAACCGGTTTGCCTGTCACACAGGCCCCGAGAGCAGGTGAGGCTAAGTGTCGTCGAACAAAGTGCGGCTGAAAGCTTAAGCTGCCAAGCGTCACTTCACAGCTGCAAAAGCGAAGTCGGCGACATGCCCTGAATAGTTCAGTTTTGCACCAGCCGTCTTTCACCCCTGTCAATGCAAGAGCGGCTGCAGGATGTTAGGTATAAGATTATGGAAGCCTAATTTAGGGTAGGTCGCTTACTAATAGTGTCAATTAGTGTTGAATAGTGTTCGATAGCGTTGTGCTACGCGTTGGAGATTATAACGGGTTTCTTTTCAATCTCGCAAAGTATGCTATATCGAGGAATGTTCGATTCGATATTCTAGCCGGTAGTTTCGCCAACATGCGCAAAGATCAAGCGATGCCAGGGCCTCTGAACTGGGCCGGTCCGTCTCAGCCTCAGAACCTTCGCGAGAAACCATGCCAAGACAAGATCAAAGTCAGGTAGTCACTCCTCTGCGGTCCAAGAAGCCTATGTAGAATTGCAGCGGAGAAGCCAAAGCGGCACGCCTTGGGAGAAGGGCATGCTCGATGCTGTGCCGCTTTCTCCTGACATTGATCTGTTAGCCGTCTGGTCAAGCCCTCGAGAGAAGCACTCTCTTGGGAAACACTGCTTGGCAGTCCTACTATTTTGGCACGAAGTTGGAAGGTCCTCCAAATGCCTGAACGGAACTCGAAAACAACTCTGCAGCGTCACCTTGCTCTCTTAACGTTGCGCGCCTGGAAAAGCAGAAGAACTGGCCCTGGGAGGAAAAGGCAAAGTAGACCTCTTTCCGATCATTCAAGCTGCACCTCCCCCATGCAAAGAGCTGCCTGTGAACAGGCTTTGCCTATGCTGAGCCTCCGATTGCTCAGCACAAGTCCTGCAAGAATTTCTCTGGACAGCAGTGGCCATGACACCATGACAATCATGACACACGACAAAAGCGGCCGCGGCCTGTCGAAGCAGCCACAGACTCAAGAAGTTCCAAGGAGAGGCCTCGAGCGGCGTGGCAACACTGCTCATCACTTGCGGCTGTCCTAGCCTTCCGGTGCGGTCACCACGTCCAGCATCTCAGACTTTAGCTGAGCTGGCAGTCCTCGTGCATGGCGGCTTGGAAGAACCGCCGTCGCCTGCCAGCTGAAGTTGCCATCCGCGCACAACACAAACATCACAAATGTAAGTTACTTCCAAGGAGTCCTGCTTCCCACTGAAGTGGCCCAGGGCTAGCTCAAGGCCCTGTGGCAAGGACACAGGCAGACTCTGAGAGTTTCCTGTTCCAACACTGAATGCTTTGCTTTCCCGTCTCTTGGCTTCAATTCGCCTGCCACTTGTCTGTGGCACCTTTCACAGCCCGCTTGTAGGTGTAGAGGATGTCGCCAACCTCATACCAGGTCCAGACAAGCTGACCACAAGACAAGGAAATGGCTGAGCGGCGTCAATAACTACCCCGGCATTCGGCAATGCCTGGTGCAAGTGCAGGGGCGCAAGCAAGCTCAAGCACAGGACCCTGCCTCCCAAAGACTTTTCCCTGGGCTCTCCTGTCCTGACAAGGCTGAACATGCGCGTCACTTCTTGTTTTTGGCAGGCCTCGCCTCCCATGGGAGACATGGCTGGGCTGACCATACTAGCCCAGTTTGTGGGGCTTGATGTGGCGCGCAACCGATGCTAGAAAGTTTGGACGAGGCACTCCAATCAAAGCCCTCGCACTTAACTTTCTTCCCCCCCCACCCTCTGCAGCCTTCCATGCGGCGAGGCAAAGGAGGCTGTGCTACCAGGTGAAACATGAATTCCGCGGTTTAAAGTTTAAATGTCGAGCAGTTCCCCCATGTCAACTTCATGCCTTGTGCTGGTGCCACTGGTGCCACTTGCCCACGAGGTCCAGGCCGAAACCCCCAAGGACGCCACCTGCTCGGCGACGCCCGCGAATGTCTCTCTGATCGAAAGCTCCGCTGGAGCGCAGCCAGGCATCAACTCCAGCCCCAGCGCAGTCACAAGCTGCTCCAAAGCCCGCCAGCCGCCGTCCACTACGGACACGTGAGGAATGCCTCCCTTCACAAGGTCAAAGCAAACCTCCAGGATCCGATCCGGAGGTGCGGCATCAACAATGCACAAATGGATGGCATCATCTCGCGGGAGAAGTTCAGGCAAGCTCCCTCCTTTCACACGAAGGCAAACTGGGAGGCCAGCCGTCTCCTCCGGGCGGAGGTCCACCACGAGGAGCTTCCACTCCACCGCCGGGCGCTCGAAAACGTGCTGCAGCACCTCATCCGGGGCCACGGCGCAAATGGGCGTCCGAAGCGCCCTGTCGCGCTCATCGCCTAACGTGGCGACCACAGACCGCGGAGTCGCCGCAAGCAGCTCCTGAGCCTTCTCCCACAGACGGACCGGATCCCACGCGTCCCACTGGAAGCCGGAAAGAGCTGCCAGCAGCACAAAGAGCATTCCGACTTCGCTGACTTCGCCCTGCTGCTGCACCACCAAGCTGCACAGCAGGCAAACATTCGGGCCTGACTCATTCTGTTCAACCCCCTGCCCAAGAAGGAATCGCAGCGGGCCCAGGGTGCAACTCACATTATCCAGAGAAGGCATCGCAGCGTCAGCCGCCTCCAAAACATCCCGAGCGTCAGCTCGTCTCTGAAGATCTGCGAGCTGTTCCTTGTGGGCGCGGCCAGCACACAGTGCAAAAGCGGCAATGCCGGCACGACATGACGAATAACCCCCCTCTGATTGAAGACGCCCGGTTTTCCCAGCCGACTGCCAGCCAATACGAGTCTTTGAAAACGGCTAGCCGGAAACACAAACCAGGCTTGACAAGATCGCAAAGGGCACCCCCGCTTCAAGGCTGGCCCTCTGAATAACACAAACCCCTCTGATTAATCCTAGCCCTCTCAAGGTTCAGGAACACCCAGTGCAGCTTCGGAGCAGGATAATGGTAACGCATCAGCATCTTGATGACGGCGAGCAAGTGGTCAGTCTCAAAGCTGAGGTACCGCATATGCTTCTCCACAAAGGCGGCCGCCAGCATCCTGGAAAGGCGCACATGGTAGGAACAAGGGGCGGAAGCCTGCATGCAAAAGTCGGGCAATGTGCATGTGTCCTGCACTGGCTTGGTGCCGGAACTCCAGCACAAGCACCATGTTCGGCAAACAGCTGCTGCAGGTGCTGGCTTGCCTGGCGTGCCTAGTCAGATCAAGAAATAAGATTGTGACGAAGCCAACCTCCCACCCCCTGCAATCCGGCCTTTGACGCCATGACTTCCCCAGGCGCAGTCTGAGCCTGCCAAGACGATCATGGCCACCGACTCAAATTGTGATCCGAACCCTTATCCTTCAAGGCTGCGTTATGGCGATGCTACTCGGAAAAGCCAGCTCCCCTCCCTCACAGTGCCTGTAGGTCCGCCCAGGCTTCTTGAGCAACAGTGCTGGCTTTATCGGATGATTCCTTTGGCTTGAGGTCCAGCTCTTGTCGCCGGTCGAAGCCCTTCACGCGGGCGCCGAACTCGCTGAACTCGCGAGGGCAGTCCTCCAAGTTTGGCGCAGCCTTATTCCAAAGCGCATCCGCCACCCCAGGCTGCGGACTACTCTCCAAGACCTCACACCGGTCGCGCCGCTCAGACAGCAGGGACTGCAGCTCTGTGTCGCTGGTGGGCTGCCTTCGGCCATCAATGATTTTATGACCATTGCTGTAGCCGGATTGCACAGCGCAAGTGGCATCCGCCGTTGTGGCCAAGGGCTGTGACTCAAACTCTGTGCAAACCTCCCGTCGCCGCTTCATCAAGTCGTCTAAGCTGGGAGCACCAGCACTGGTCTTGGACGTCATTGCTGCCATTTCCGGTGAGCACCATGGCCGAAAGTTGGTGTTGTGTCAGTTGCGTCAGTTTGTGGCAAATGACTGGATCGTGTGCTTACGCTTGGAAATGCCGCACGACACTTTCGGCAATACTAGTTGCTACATAGCACGTATTATACTGTGTAAGGCTTGGCACATCATACACTGATAACAATAGCCAAAGCTTATCAGACCCAATGGCCGACCCAGCCAAGATGCAAAGCAGGCAAGCACATGCCATATGGCCACGAACAAGCGCTCAATCGATCCAGTGCGGCATGCATCGTCGCTCCTTGCTGCTTAGCCTGATACGGTTGTTTTTCCCCAAGACGATACGCTGATAGCCTAAACCTCACCACCAGGACCTTGAGCAAGGCAGATACGTATCTGAAGCATCAACGTCGCCATTGCAATGGCGGCGGATGTGCCGGACCTCGCGTGCGCATTTGAAGCAACCACATTGTGGACTGCCTTGAGCACAATGCAACCAGGTCTTTGCCAAGAAGCAGTACCAGTTCTAGTCGACCTGGGCTTACTTCACCGCAAACGTCAATCTGCACGTTGCATCCAGTGGCCTGGGCACAACAACTGTATCTCAGCGGTTGGCGTCAAGCCCCCGTGACCGTTGGCTGTGACTTGGCCAGCAAAGACGATAAGTTGAATGTTTGCCGGAGAATTTGATGTTGGTCCGCGTTGCCTGCAAAGTGTTCATACGCACAAGAATGCGGAGGGCCCAAAGCGCACTCCAATGCTCGTGCTTTTCTGCAACAGCCTGCTCTGCGTCGGCAGAATTCGCCCAGTTCATGTAAGCGCTAATGTATTGAGTCAAGTTGCGATCTCTGCAAGATGGCCATAGGCAACCAGTGGCCCCCGCACAACTTTGCATGGGAGCAGCAGTTGAAGCTTCGAAGGCGGAGAGTCGGCCAGCAACCCGCCTCAGGCACATCAGCTCGATTGAATTGGACCGCACATTAGGCATTGCCTCGCATGAGTGGGGCGCAAGGAACGGGGAACAGCAAATTGGGTAACCAACTGTTGTCCTTGAGTATTGTCGCAGCTTTGTTTTCCATGCCATGGAATACCCAAAGCGCAAGTAAGTGTCGTAGAAAAAAAACGCGCCAGGTTAGCGCCCAAACCACCGAGCACAAGCAGGGAGACAGGTGCGGAGACAACCCGGGAGATAAGTGTGACAAGGTCCAAGTCAGGAGGCGCGAGCAAGACAGATGGGGAGACAAGTGGGAGACAAGCCGTAACAAGGTCCGGGTCACCAAGCACTTGGGAGACGAAGCGGCGACAAAGCCAGTGCCCGAGCCACTGCAGCCCCAAGTGCAGGCAAGGAGACAAGCGGGGAGATAAGGGTGGCGACAAGTAGGGAGACAGCAGGACTGCCAGAGGCAAACCTCGCGACTGGGAACCATTTGTTGTATCAGCGCCCTGCCCTGTGTTGCGGCTGTCCGACCAATCCGAGCAGACCAATGAACAAAGCACGTCGTCTACCAAGTGGCCTCCATGCCAAGATGAAAAGTGTTTTACTTACGGACCATCGTTCAAGTCCTGAAGACACGATCTGCCCATAGATCCTGCTAAAGCGGGAACTCGGCTACCTACGCAAGCGTGACAAAGTGCAATCCTCAGCCAGGCACCTCACTCCCAGCCCAGCTCCAATTCCCCAAGTCCCAGCTCTCCCCAACTCAGCTTGACTCTCGCCGATATTTCTCAGCCACATCCCGGCATGCATAACTTCAGCAACATAAGTCTAGGTATGCGCAAACAAAATGGCAATGCTCAATAGGCCAATCAAGAGGACTTGCCACTCTGCAGCTTAGTCTCCGAGCCAGATGCTCTCACCCGCGCGTGGCGGCATGACTGGAGGAGCGCCCACCGCAGGATTGCTCTTCACTGGATCTGTTTGCTTGCTCAAGTTTCCTCGCATGTCAGCGGAAGGCTTGCTCAGGATACCTGTGTCGGCTGGTGGTGCAGTTTCGGTCTGCACTGGCTTGAGGTTGTTCATCTGCGGACCTTCAGTTTCGGAAGCTGGCTTCTCTGGGATGGCTTTGCATGCGTCTCGCCAGTAGTCCTCGATGTCTTTCTCAGAATACTCGCCAGAGAAGGCCTTACGAAATTCTTCGAAGGTGTAGACATTGCCCGACTCGGGCTCCAGCCGCTTCTCACCCGATCGATCTGGCAACGAGCTCGTCTGAACCACCTCTGGCCGAGTCCCGGCTGCATTGGCAGTCTTTGGCGGGGTTGGGCCGGGACTGGGACTGGGACTGGGACTGGGACTGGGACTGGGACTGGGACTGGGGCTTGGCTTTGAAGCGGGGATTGGGCCATATGCATCCGCCTTGGCCAATAAGGCGAGCACCGCAGCAAGACGGGCTTCCAAGTCACCCTCCAGCCGCATGACCCGCTCAGTGCTCTCCGGGCTTGCAACGCTATCATCCTGCATCTGCGCCACACATGCCCCAGCTGCCGAAACAGCCTCTTGCAGAGGTACTTCAGGCACAGCCAGGGGCAACAAAAGGACAGTGTTCGGCAGTGAGGCCTGGTCCATTTCTACGAAACATGCCCTCACTGCCTGGTCGCGTTCTTCTGCAGTGCCACGAATGTCAAGGATGCGCTGGTCTGGATCAAGTGATAGCGTGACCTCCTCAATGGAGCCTCGAAATTGTAGGGTGGCTCCAGTCCTGTCACGTAGCCGTGTAATCTTTTCGCCGCCTTTGCCAATAAGAAATCCTGCGAAGGTCTTGCTCACAAGAAATCGCGCGGCAGGACTTGATGTGAATGCCCCGCGACTTGTGGCACGTGGCGCGGGTGTTCGACCAGGAATGTAACAAAAATCGTCTGGCTGCACCCGTCCCTTGTCTGCCAACTCTTGAAGCACCGCATTGGACAGCACTGCCTGGCCAGAGCAAGAAACTGGAACTCAGCAAGCTGTGTCACGCAAAACGACTGTGCCGAATTGGGGCAGGCACCGCTCGGACTATCTGTTCAGGTCGGCCCCTCAGCACCTCAGGACATGGGGCCTGGGAGCGCAAGGGGAAAACCAGGATGGACTGCAGGCTAGGCACAACTGGGTTATCAGGCATGCCAGTTATGCAGTCTCTGCCCACATCGATCTCCTTACTGCTGGTCATGTGTGATCAATGCTGGTTTGCACTCAAAAAGAACAGGCCAAAGCGGCGGTCCCAGATTCAGCCATTATCTCACCTAGGTTTCTCAAGCTGTCCAGGCACGGCACAAGTACCCCAACACGGCATTATCCGCCCAGGCACTGATCTTCGCACCTTTGGTGCCAATAACAGCGCCAACGGCGCACGAGGGCATCACAAGCACACAAACGCCCTCCTCCTCCTCGGGAATGCCTTGGCTACGGACATGAGCCATGAAAAGTATGAGCAACCATCACAGTTACACGGGGCCTCGTGCGTGCAGCAAGGTCAAAAGAAAACTGAAAACTTGCCCAGGCTCCCTGATACTGAAACAGCTCCGCTACAATGTGCTTCAGCGATTCCTCCTTCTGACTTGCAGAGCCTTCCAACCGTACGATCCTGTCACCTCAGCAAAGTATCGGAGCACTGAAGCGAAGCTCAGCACCAACAAAAGCCAAGAGGCGCAGCGTCACTGGAGCTTCATCAGGAGTGGACACGGTCCTTGGATCTCGTGGCACGCAACCCCAAGGTTCGCAACAAAATGCGCAACGCACCGGTTGAAAGCGAACCCTGGCATCACGTTGCGGGCAGAGCTGCACGGAGGCCCCACTTTGCAGCTGAAGATCTTGGCCATCTGTTCCAATCACAGTTTGCACAGACTCATCCGGAATGAGCAGCCGCAATGGGATACAGAAGCTCATCGCATCGTGTCTGCCCCGGCTGGTAGGTCAGGTGATTTGTTTGCCAGACCCCTGAGAGCTCACTGGTAGCTGTCTTAAGGCTGAACGGGTCCGTCGTTTGTCCAAGTCTTGAACTATCCGCAAGTAACAGTAGCAAAGCAGCGATTGCGCATGTAGGTGTACAAATCTGTGTATATATATATAATTATATATCTATGTATATCTTTATCTGCAGCCAACGCATTGATGTAAAGAAGGCGCGGGCCAAGATTGATGCACGTCTGCATGCAGCAACAGATAAAGTTCATGAGCCCCGCTTGAACCAGCAAGGCTGCACGACATGCCAAGCTATGCTGATTTTCAGCCAGTGTCCGTAGTATGCTGCACTGTCAGCACCCTTTCTCCGCAGCAAACATCAAAACATAAAATCCAGCTTCTCAAATAAAGCTCGAGCTCGGTTCTTTGGACACTCGAACACTAAGTCACCACCTGCAAGCAAACATCAGCGCGTGGATTCACTTAGTCGCACTCCCCAAGCCTATTCGAGGGTTCACCTCGAAAATGCAAATGCTGCCATCACTTCGGAGCTTGTAGCCTGCCATGTGCGAGAAAAAAAAAAACCTCCCTTCCTACCCATGGGTCAGGGAATGGCTGCCAGCCTAAGCAGCAAATGCCGCTGAACTCCGACAGCAAGACTCGCCTGGTTCAACAGAAATGAACTGAGCATGCAAACGGTCTCAGCGAAAAAGGCGCTGGCATAACGTCCAAATGGTCGTGGGGCACGCTGACATACTCATGCCGCACCTCTTGCACAAATGGCCTTGGTTGCCGCTGAAGTGCTTGCAAACCCGTTCCAAAGTTGTTGAATGCCGGCTCAGCGCTTGACCACACATACTCTTCACCATCATACTCATACCTGTCAACAGAAACAAGTGAAACAAACATTCATAAACATTCAATCTGCTGAGCTTGCCGGGGTTTAGCCGGTGTCTATACACGGTGAGCAACTAGCTGACCCCATACTACCTCACATATTGTGGTGTTTGTTGCTGGGCACATTGTGTTCACATAGTCCACAACTTCACCATTGAGCACCAGCAGCGTGGTGGAATACTCCAGCCTCCCTGCAACAAGTTCCTGCAGGCCAGGGACGAGTTGCGGCGAGTGCCCCAACGCCGTGTGACAAGCCCAATCCAACACGCTCAGGGCACAAAGTGAGCATTGTGGGCGGTTAGGGGTTCTGGTCCCATTCGCGTCCTGCAAAACCCACTTGGGTTGCAAGTCCCCACCGCGTGTCAAGTGTTCCACTTCTTCTGCAGACCGCACCACGTGGGTATCCTAGACAGGCAGCACACTGTCATCTGGGAGTGCTGCATGCTCGCATGTCCTTCCCGAAAGTGCCTCAAACGTCTCACAAATCTCACGAGCGCCAGTGCAAGCAACTTGCTTCAGAGCCCCATTGCATGGCAACTCTCCAGCCATGCTACCGACAGCAGGCTTCAGGATGCAAGGGTAGACTGCTTCCTCTGAGCTTTGGTAGCACCTCACCGTCATTTGGACTTCCCTTATGCCCAACTCTTCCCTGGTTGCCTGGGTGTGGAAGCCTCGATCCCTTTCGACTTGGCGTACTCAATCATACTAGCCTTGGCAGCCAAGCAGCTTCCAAGCAACCAGGCTGTGAACTTGCCCGGCCTTGTTGCAAAGTGTTGACACCACCTTACCCATGGCAGTTGGGACAACCAATCCTTGTTCTCTCTTCCTCCGAGTTTCACACTTCAGGATCAACCTGGTCCGATCACTGCAAACACTCTGGTTCACATGGCAAACTGCTGCCTGATGACACCGCGGTGCTGCGCTACACTGGGGGGCCTGCCCAAACCACCTTCCAGCCAGCATGCCGCAGGTCCCCCTGTGCAGGATGGTCCGCACATCTCTATGAGCACTGAACACGTGTCTCACGCGCGAGTGGGAGCATGCAACACACACACACACCCTCTTCGCTCAAAGGCATCTTACTTTTCCTCCGCGGATCATAGGTGCACGAGTGTGGTACATTGTCAGCCTGCAGCGCGTAGGAAGCAGCGCTTGCCTGCAGGATGTCGAGGTGCAAGGTTGCAAGGCCTTGTCAGGCTTGGCAGAAGCACGATGCTTTGGCGACATTGGACAACAATGACCTCAAGGCCCCAAGACAGTTGCCTCCACCTGTCTGCAGCAAAATACAACGGCATGAACATCACGTTGCCTTCTCAACTTCTGTAGCTTCATTGGCTTCAGCTTGATGACGTGCCGTCAATCCAAGCGCCAAGCGAAGTTCCTGCAGGTACTCGAAGACTTCCGTAGCTCTATCATGCTCATCCGCAGGGTGTTTGTCGGGATGCCACTGCCGTGCTAGCTTGCGGTAGCCTCGAAGGCTTTCGCTCGCAGAGAGGGACGCAAGGCGCTCCAGCTCGGCTTTCACCTCTGCCTTGTCCTCCGCAAAGCGCTCGTCCTCTCCAAAAGGTGTCCAAGGCCTGTCATGTGCAGGCACCTGGGCTGAGAGACCTGGCACCTTGACATCCACGGTGCCCCGCCAAGTCACACTTGTTCTCGTCATGAAAAAATCCACGCGATCAGATTTGGTTGCATTTGTCATGTTCGTTGCAGGTGTATTTGTTGCAGATGCATTTGTGTCGTTGACGTCTGTCTGCTCCAGGTTGACCTGACGCTCTGAGGCATACTTCACCTTTGGCATCTCCTTCACGGCATCCCCAGCATGGTAGCTGGTAACTGTCACAGTTACGGGCCCGCCATGTCGCCCCTTGATACGCGGATCTGCGGGTATCTTCACAGACGCACCGTCCGGGGCTTCCACCTCTGTCCCCTGAATCAAGGCCTCTTCGCTGACTTTGCGCAGAGATATTGACACGGCTGGCGAGTCATAGGTCACCGGCAGCCCATCTACTTCCGCGCGAATGCCCAAGGCCGCCTCGGCGGCGATGACCTCAGCTTTCAAGGCCTCCTGCGTGGTCGATCTCACTGGGCTAAACAGGCGCAGTGCCACGACATCCCGCTCACCCTCGCTGGGGCCCAGTGACTCATCGAATGCATGCGCAACACAAATAAAAAGAAGAAGGCGCCAACCGGCAGACAGCCGCTTGTGCACTACATGGGTTCCAAGCATTGCACCTTTGGAGCAATAAAACTCTGGCAGGTGCACAACAACAGTTCATTGAATTCATGCCAGGCTGGGACTGCTGCCCTATGGATGCCCCAAGCTCCCGCCTGACGCTCTGCGACGCGAATCGCAACTTGATCCTGGTTGGGCAGCAGCCAGCAAGGGCCTTGGGGCAAACGTGCAGCTCAAAAGTCCACATGCCCTGCAAAGAGCAAACCTAGCCGCTGCTGCTGCTGCTGCTGCTGCTGATGATGATGATGATGATGATCATGATGCTGATGACTTCTCAGCGCACACCTCGAGACCTGTAAGCCTGCCACGGGCAGGTGATGTCGGGACGGTCCCCATGCCTGCAAGCAAACGGAAAAAATCCAACTGAGCCCAATCCTGAGTCTCGATTGCATGCCGGCCTTGCCAGTCGATTGAATTTACGACACCGCAGCCATACTGCCTACAGTGAGTTCAATTGCCAGCACGGCTTGCTTTGCGCTTCCAAAGCGTCAAGCAAATGCGCTCTCACAAGTTCTGGTTTCTCCACTGCGTTGCTTTTCACTGCTCACTACTGTCACCGCACTCAGATTTCCTTCTTCTGCAGGGAAGGGGGCAACGACTGCCTCAGCTGCCACGTGCCTTCCCTGCATTCTGCAAAGGAAATGGTTCTCGAAAATGCCTTGCAGCGAGCAATTGTGCTGGTTAAAAAGTTGGCCTCATTGTGAAGTGTGTGGGTGTGGCTTGACTAGCTATTGATGCCTTCCCCTTGTGGCATTGTTTGGCATGACTCTCATGCCGAAGCAGGCACTGCCTTTGCCATCTCTGTGGCTGCTTCTGCTTGTCGCTGCCATCTTGCCTCTCTGCTGCCTCTGTCGCAAATGTTGCTGCTGTCGTGGCTGTTGGCATTGCTCCAGCGCCGCTGCCGCTGTTGGACAGCTGCTTGCTGCTGCTGCTGCTGCTGCTGCTGCTGCTGCTGCTGCTGCTGCTGCTGCTGCCGCTGGTGGTGGTGGTGGTGGTGGTGGTGGTGGTGGTGGTGGTGGGTTGTTCACATTGGCTGACTAATGAACCCGCGCTCAACACGCTCCCGATTGGGGCCAATCTTGACAAGAAAGCTTGAGGAAGAATGATTCAACCGGCACTGCAGCATGTGCCACCAACTTGAGAGAGGACGGAACCGAAAGCTGGCACTTTTTGCCAGAAGTGCCAACACTGCTTTTCAGCCTGCTCAAAAACCAATCAGCACAGCCCACATAAGACAAACCGGCAAAGCATTGGCAATGTGTAATGGAAGCATGTAGCAAAACAGTTCAGCCCGAACCCAACCACACCGCCAGGCCCTTTGTGCGCATCTCGTCACGGTACCAACCTCAAGCTTTCGGGAAACAACTCCCTCCCGCGCCATCTCACTGCCCTTCCCGTCCATTTCGCACCAGGATGCTTCAGCTTTTCAGCCTTGCTCTTGTCGGTCATGATGAGCGTATACAGGTAGCTGCCTAGAACTGTCATACCATCAACATCTTATTTGTCAATGGCACTCCGTCCCATCCAAGACCATAGCCACATCTGATGTTGACAAGGAACTGCTCAAAAGAAACACGGCTTGACGGCCAGAAACATGCGCATGCGTGCGTGTGTGTGTGTGTGTTGAAAATGACCGAGCTCATATGACACTGGTAGTTGGCATCTGCTCGAAACTGGCCAAGGCACTGCAGCGAATCTTGAACTTGGTCTGGCTGCCGTTCTTCTTGATCTTCACAGACCGGGCATCCTGATCGAACATACCGGCAACCATGTACCCTGAAAAACCGAATGGAACATGATCCTTGCGACGGGCAATTTGCAGAAATTGGCGGATCTCTGTAATCCTCAGTTGAGCTGAGTGGACAGCAATGTCCGCTACACGTGCAACCCGTAGAAGAACAATGGGGCAAATGAGACAAGCAGCTGCTTGGGCATAGTTGCGCCTGGTCCTCTTCACACATACAACCAGAGGCTTCAAGAACCGCATGCAAAAGTTGCTTGCCGGCGCCTTGCAACGCCGCTTGCAACGCCAGTGTTCCCGCACTTGGTCCGCAAATTTGAGCCAGAAAGGCCACGGCAAACAGCCTTGCAAGCCATGATGCCGCCTCGATGCCTCATTCTCCATCCGCACAGACTTTGCGCAGCTTAGGCACCCCTGCTTCAACTGCCGCGCCCACCTCAACATGGGCGTGGTTTGAAACCTGGCAGTACGATTGCCCAACTCAATGCCAACTGGATCTGAATAGCAAATAAAATTGGACAGAAGAGAAAGACAGCCACAAACTATCTTGCATATGACCCGCTACGATTCTTTTGAAAATCTTCGGGACTCAAGACAAGCAGTCGCCTTGGTGCCGGTGCTGGGCCCCAGCCTCGTTACAAGCTGAACGAGCATTTGGGGAACACAAACCCCCCTCCCACAAAATGTGTCGTAAAACAAGCAACCCCCCCTCCCCAAGCCCACAACCACACCCAATTGCAAGAGGGTGTGAAGAATCATGCTTTCTCGTCTTGAGCAAGAATTAAGCCACGAGCTGCGCAGCTCCTTCAAAAGCTTCGCGGCTTCTCCTGGCTGCTCCTGCACTATATAGCACAATGATATTATAGTGCATGTGTTGAGAATTTGCACTGACTAAAGCGCCTTGGAGCATGCGCGGATCGCGTGGCCGTAGCATTCAATGTCCGGTTCCAAATCTTTCGACCAAGCATCCTCAGCCAAAAGAGAATCCCTCCCTGTTCATTGCGCGCTGTCAACCCATGGCTTGACTCGGCAAGGGTCAGTGAGTAGATCAAGGGCATTCTCCCAGGCCCTGCCTGGCAAACTGAAAGAGCCAGGCCATGGCTGACAAGTGTGTGTGTGTGTGTGTGCGCATGCATCCAGCTGCTGTTTTCTCGCTCTGGCAGCTTTGCCTACACCTTGAAGGCTCTAGACTCTTAAGGCATTCTCAGAGAGGCATGCAAATCTGTGCAAAGATTCTGCTTTGCAGAAAATCCGACCCCCGCAACTTCCCTCCCTTCATCAGCCTGTCCTTCACAAGCGATGGTGAATTCAAGACATGTTCCTTGCACCTGTGCCACCCTCCCCCAGCTCCTTGCATGATCAAACAGCTGGTGCCTGCGCACTCCCCGCACCCTCCCCCACCATGGGCAGTGACAAGTCGAGCTTACGATGCCTTGCGAAGAACTCGGACGAGCGCTGGGTCCTTGGAGGCACAAGGTTTGCCTTCAGATGCTCACCAAAGGCTGGCACCATTCGCAGCACGATTGGTTTCAGCATGGGCACCTGCGGCCAAAGCGTTCGACCGCGTTTCACGGCAAGAAGGGCCCCAGTCCGTGCCATACGTCATACATCAAATGTTGAGTGCAGCGCCGCTATAGCCGCAGAAGCCAGAAATTTGCGGACAGAGCCCTGGGGGCAGGACTGGCCGTTCAACACACTGATCCAACCGGCCTTGATATGTGCCACTGCTACTGCTCTTTCCGATGGCACCATCAAGGCGCACCTGTCACTCACAGCGCCAGACTGTGCGATGACTTGACTCCAGGCCCCACACCATAAGCGCAAAGCAAGGTCTTGATCCGTCCTGGGCACTTTCTCTCCTCTCTTTCCCCTCCCCCTCTCAAGGGACTCAGCTGAAGGCACATCGTGCTTCTGGTGGTAGCTGTTAACGTCACCGATTGGTAGCGCAGTAAGCCACACAATCGGGACCGTGCAAACCTCGAGCAGGCCGACGGCCCCGGCTGTTTCTGGCTCCAAGGCTCCCGCGTTTAGAAGCAGAATCAGCACCACCCACGCCAAATGCTTGGTGAGGCTTCGGAAGCCCAACAAGTATCCTGGAGATGTCAGCCATGCCTTTGCCGCACGAATGGCATGCCCGCCTGTGACCTTGAAGAGGATCAAAAACACTTGTTTGGCGGCGAAAAAGCCTCGGCTGCCAAACATGGAATGACCTTGAGCCAAGGCCATGCATGGCCAGAAGCAGCCATAATGCAGCCAGGGTGCTGTCCAGGTCGTGCACAATTGGAAAGCGGAGGAAAGCATCAAAAAGCCCCCACACGTTGCAGAACTGCAAAACCTCGGCGCTGTGACGTCGCATCATGTGAGAATCCTGGCTGCTTGGAAATGAAGACTTAGCTACGGCTAGAGTACCAGCTGGGCAGACCAATGCACATCCAAGCTGCTGCGAAAGTCCACGTCGGCACGACCCCCCCAACGTACAAAAGCCATTCCTCGAAGCTGAGCCTTGGCTTGAGCTCCGTGCAAATCGTCTGCAAAGCCTCCTGTGCAATCGAAGTCGCACGAAGCCAATGATGAAAAGAATCTTCCGCACTTTGGGCGGCTCACCTGCAATTGAAAAAGTGGCAAGAGTTGGAACTCTGCCTTTCTAAAGTTGTGATTGCCGCGTTACATTTAAGGCCAGAACTGCAGTCCACATAGTCTGGCCAGAACCAGCACACCTGTCACTGAACTGGCTTGAGAGAGAAAAAAATAACTGCGTGCGCTTCTCGCGCTGAGAATTGCGTGCTTTGCAAGTCTATGGTAACCTGAAAAACCAATTGGCCAGCTGCAGTGGGTTCGGCAGGACCGGCAGAACAGACCAGGCACAGTGTGCGGACCAAGAGCTTGTGGGCGCGATCATCCAGGCGAGCGCGCCACCAAAGAAATAGCCAGAATGCAGAGCTGTTGGCGTCATGCGCGATGACGCAGCGAATGTCGCAGGCACGCGCTTCATTTTGCAGGGCACAGGGTTGACAGGTCCGAGGTTCTGAGGAAGGAGCAATAAAACGAACAGCTAGAGGAGGGCAGCACTGCAAGTCAAGAGCGCGGTGAATGCAGGATATCATGGTGGGGCTGGAGTGTTTTTTGCTAACCCCGTTTTTAGCTAAATCCGGCTAAACTTCCAAAATTGGAGACCCAGCATGGGCAAGCCAACCCAAGCCGACACAGAGTACCCTCCCAACGGCATCCTGCATAGCCGCCCATCAAATCAAAGCAAATCGGCCGAGCGAGGCCGGTGATGCTGGGGATGCGGCCGCGCTAGCGACCACCAACCAACCAACCAACCAAGCAACTGGTCAACCAGCTGGCAGTCCGAAGCCCCAACCCGGGCTAGTTGAGAAAACTTGCGGATGTGCATTGAGGACGTCACAAAATGGGATCCCCGGCACACCATGAACTTACGGGCATGACTGCAAATTCGTGGAGCATACGATCAAGCATTTGTCGGCACAAGTGCTAGGAAGAGATGCTGCAGGCATGCTGGGCAGGAAGCAGCAAGAGGGCGCAGCAGCCGGCGATCCAGGGTCCACTGGGGAAGCCGAAACTCTGGAAGATGCTAAGATGGCAATGGCGTTGTGGTCTACCCCCCTGGCAAGAAGCAAAGCAGTCAGTCAGACATGGCCACAATGGTACATGCTTGGAACAGAGCTCCTGAACAATGGGATTCAATGCGCGTGAACACATACATCTGACTGCTGACTCAGGCACGCCCATGGTAAAAAGGATCACGTAGGCGCCATAGGCCGCCAGGATCGCAGCCACCATGGCGCTAACCACGAGGTCTGGGCATCACAAACGACGAAACAAACGCCAGTGCTACACGCTCACGTTGGCTCTGGCAGGTTGCCTACGGAAGAGGCTGGGCTGTTGAACTGCCGAGTTTTAACGATGAAGCTCGACAAATAATAATCCGAAAATGCGAGCTGACTGCATGTGTCTTAGAAGTCATCACTTCCAAACTCTGTCTGCCTGAGCCAGTGCAAAGTAAGTCAGCTATGTTTGGCGTATCCGAGCCTTGCCCAGCATGCGAAAGCTATCATTTGTCCAGTAAGATTGGCACATGCCGTCCAAACAAACCAGCCTGGCCTCGTCTACAAGCGCATATGCACGCCTTACCACTGGTAGCGTGTGGAGCCGAAGCGGGAAGAACGAGCCGGCGGCAAAGTAGCTCGTGGTGTCAGGGGTGACCTGGCGGCTTCAAGGGGACCATCAGCCTGCACCCTCCAAATAGCCAGCAAAACCCCCAGGGCTCTCATGTCCTGCAGGGTCTCCAGCCTAAGGCTCAAACCCCGTAGCATGCAAGAGAAGCTGTCTGGGTCCAGGCGCTCCCTGCCAGTCAGCTGTCCAGGCATGGTCCTGGAAAGCGCTCGCCAATGACTAAGAGTCCAAAGACTTCCTAATGATGTATTTTGAGCCATTTGGCCTGCTCAAGTACATTCTCAGGAGGTTTCAACAACCCTTGAAACTTAGGGCAACAGAAGGCTCTGGCAAAATCATGCAACTTGAAAGGAGTTCAAAGCATCGCGAATCTCTCCGTCAGCATCACATTGTAGCTCTGCACATAACTGCCCACCTCACGCAACTGAACAGAATGCCAGCACTCCATGCTAAAGCTTCACAGGGCCAAAGCTTACCGTACTAGCTATCCAGCTCCTAGCCTGAGATCATGGCTGCTTCATTGGCAAGCAGCATGTCGGACTCCACATCCCTGCAGTCGTCTGCACCAATGAGCAAATCAGCCGAAAGGTGAGCAAAGCCCTGAAATACAAAGAGAACCCCGACATGATCATCAGTCGAAGTGATATAAAACCAATACCGCATGGGCAAGCCAAGCTGTGCCAGTTACGGATGCTCAGCAAGGCACCGTTCTTGTTTGCGTGTTTGATTGTTGCTTTGCTTCTTACCGAACAGGGTGCTTTTCTTTCCGTAAGGCCGCCTATGCGATTGCATGGGAACATGTCACGCAAATCGCGAAAAGTCCTCAGCTTTTGCACATCTACCACGCTGAGTGGGAGGGCTGATCCGCGGACCACAGAGTCGCAAACGCCGATCCCACAAAGGGCTGAAAAATCGTGAAACAATCCTCAGTTTGTTGCACATGGACCACGCCGATCCCCGCAAATCCCTACCCCTCGCCAAAACTAGCAGAATCTAACCGCTGAGCTCTTCCCTATAGAAGCGTTAAGAATCTTCGCTATACAAGCCTAACTTGCTTTACATAGCTGCTGACGCCGAGCCTCTATGCTAGCTCTCTACCTAAGAGCTAAGAGTCCGACCTAAAAAACTCAACTTTTCACACCCAACCTCTTTACGCAGACTTTTCACACCCAGACTATACCTGCACTACTCGTGCACAGGCTATCAGACTGTGCACAGACGATTCCCAGACTACTCGCCGATGTGCAGATGGCTCTGTGCAAGTTGCTCCGCGCAGAGTAGCTCTGTGCAAATGGTTCTGTGCAAGTAGCTCTTTGCAAGTTTGCTCTGTAAGAAACCGTCCAAGGGCTGAGCAGCAGGGAAGAACCATTGGCGATGCTTTCGAGAGAAAAGCGACCCTCAGCGGAGATTTTCGGGCGCACTGAATTCTTGCGCTGCAGCTCTTGCAGATTGCACGTAGGCGATTTCCAGAAAGGAAATGTACTTGCAAAACTTGTGGGGAGATTTCTGCAAGAGAATATTCAAACAGATTACTCTGGGAGATTACTCCCAGAGATTGCTGAGAGAGATTACTCAGAGACGTTGCCAGGAGATTGCAGACGAAGCATTGCTGGCAGGGTTTTTCCCGAAAGATTGGGAAGAGAGATTGCGCAAAAGCAGTGAGAGCTCATTTTGTTGTGGGGGGGGATACATATTATTCTTCCAGGGGCCTTGCGTGTCACAGCTCCACCATCCTCCAGCTTCTGCCTTTAACCCTCATGAGCCCCCTGACCTTTTTCATGCTAGAGCTTAGTATAGCGGTATGGCGGCTGCGCACTTGGTAGGCGGCTTTGAGGAGCCGCACACACCAATCAGCAACAAGAGCCAAGCCGCAAGCCAGAACGTCACCCAGCCTCTCCAAAGTGAAAGCTTTCAACGGATCCTTGTCACGCATGACATGTGCTGAGCATACTCAGTGAGCCGAAGCGACAAGGCTCAATAGCTCACTCGCGGTGACCATATCCCAAACAGCCCAAGCCAAGGGCTGCACCCATGCCTGAAGAGGCAGCGGTGGGCCGAAGGCGGACAATGCTAGGCGGGGGTGACGATGGACACCTGAAAGGCCAAGCTAGCCACAACCAGGCCACCAACTGGTGTACTGCTCAAACCCCCCAAAACAAAACAAAAAACACTGGCAGCAACCTGGTTGTTGCGACCTTTGACCACAACCTTGGTGTCCCGCCATATCAACACCAACCACCACCTGCATGTGAGCCCTGCCTCCCCACGAGCCGCCAAAAGCACCCCTGAGTGCTGGCCTGGTTGCTGCACCTTGGATGAAAAAATAGAAGAGTGAGTGTGACAGCATGATCCTTTAATGGCTTCTTGACTTCTGACTTGGGCTGGGGAATCCATCACACCACATGGCTTCCACCAAAGCCAGAGGTGACCCATCCATGCCAACGGGGACCGTGACTTGGCGCCATGGCATGGCCCCATCAGCGCTGTTCTCTCAGGGCAGTGTCAGCAACTCCTGCGCTCAAACTGCGGTCCAGCATTGACCCCTGCTCCACTCCCCGTCCTTCCATGATGAGGTAGACCACGTTCGAAGTGGGCTGGCTGTCGACTTGTTGTTCTCTACAAAACCCAAACGGCAGTGCAGCTTTGTGAGTTGCTTGGGGGGTGGGGGCGGGCAGCGTTGCCCATAGATAGAGTAGTCGTCCTCTGTCCTCTGCCAACCATGCGCGATCCATGTAAATTGAGGCATGAGCTACACACTCAAAAATCACCTGTTCGCATGCACCCAAGCACGAACAAACACAAACACAGAGAGAAAAAGAGAGAGAGAGAGAGAGAGAGAGAGAGAGAGAGAGCGAGAGAGAGAGAGAGAGAGCAAAAGAGAGAGAGAGAGAGAGAGAGAGAGAGAGAGAGAGAGAGAGAGAGAGAGGGAGAGAGAGCAAAACATGCCTGCTCACACAAAAAGCGCACACCCTGCTCACTTGTTTCTCACTCGAAGCTCTCAAGCGGCCTCAAGCTTCCGCCCGAGCCTTGCATGCGCCACTTGGTGGACATGCCGGCCGTACCAGGTGATACGGTCATGGGCGGAGGCTGAAGCAAAAGCCGTGGAGCACTTACTGCACCACAATTGATGTGGATCTTGCCGTGCAGAAATGGGGGCATGCCCTTTCATGTGCGCCCTTGGGTATTTTGAGCTGTCAGTTCCTTTGCACATCCATTTGGCACCAGTAGTGGGTATCTTGACACCTGACATGCCTCTGCGCAAACCCCCACTGAAAATTCCGCAAAGGCGGATCCTACAGCCGGCCGTCGAGTAATACCGACAGAAGCATACGGTGCAACTACTAGCAGACCACAAAAAAGGACACCGGCCAGTCTGGTGCGTCCGGAAAGTGCAGCCAGCCAAAGTCTGGAGTCTGGGGCGGTCTTTTGGGCACGCCGGTGGGTTCCTCGGGTGCATGAGGCAAGCCAGGGAGCAACTAGACTTGACCAGGCTCCCCACAAAGGGCGCTACCTCCTCGACGGGAGCTTGCTGCTCTCAATCATGAACCAAGCCTCGGTCCCAAATCACTGCATCTAAAATAGCAGCTCAACACAATCTCGCACACATACCAAGCGCAATCCAATTCACCACAGCCTGGGGACATGTTGCAAGGCTTCGTCGGCAGATGGGCGATCCATGGGCTCGAAGGTCAACATTCTTGCACACAACTCCGCCTCAGCTGGGCTCCGCCAGCACCCTCTCACCCGTCTCAAGCTGCAACGCTCAGCCCGGCATCATGCAGCAAGCGCGGTCTGACATGCCCAGCCACAGCTTCCGTGCACTTGTCCATGGGTGGCCTGGTAAAGTCTATCCTGGGCGCCACCCACCACACAATCACAGTACCACAGGCGGAAACGCTGTTGCCAAAACCAGCTCCTCTCCGTCTTCAGGCGTTCATGAATCCTGCAAGATTCTAAAAAATGAGCAGAAACACTTGTGCTCTGAAATGGCACCTGTCCTTTTCATAGCCGGGCTGCCGACCCAGTTCTCACCAGGCCCATCATCGAAAATGGCCTCCTGGCATAGTTTGGGCCAAGCACAAGGCATGCCAGTTCTGCGCAACAAACTCTGTGATCGTCTGATTCAAGGGACCGGCGTGCACTGCAACCTCTTACTCAAGTCTTTACTTCTTGAGTAGTGCAATCTGCAGGGCTTCCAGGAGCTTCCGTGAAACATGTCACCGCGCACGCGGCTGGGAAATCTGCCGGTCAAAAGCTTGTACATGACCTGGCAAGAGTCGACCAAGTGACCGGCAACGCCCTTTGTGGGCCCGCAGTCTAAGCACGCGGCCACACCAATTGAATAGATGTCAGAAGCGGGAGAATAATTGCCTGGGAGGGACAAGCCGTGTCGGAAGCACACCCTCGTCACATGCGAGACGCAATGATGACTGCACGCTGTGAAGCGAGTTGCCCAAGTACGCCTCCGGGGCAATGTACCCATCGGTGCCCAGCACATCTTTTGCTTTTGGACTGCTAGGCTCCCAGTTCTCAACCTGCAAATGCCACACATCCGCAAGCTTCAGCAAGAACGCAAACCAGCACACAAAAATCAAGAAGTGCCAAAGAACGGAGACATGGACGAAAAACCGGGAACTGCGATCCATGCGGCAGTATCAAAGTCGATGATCTTGACGCTGGCCGGGCTCTGCGCATCGCCGCCGTCCTTTAGCCTCTCCATCATATTCGCCTTCGCTTGCCTCAGGCGAAAGCTGAAAGGCGGCATCGGCACGCCCACCGTTTCGTTGAGCGTCTTTGTTCCAGGACTGGGGATGTCCACCATGACATTCTCCGCCTTGAGGTCTTTGTGAATTCGTCCACTGGCATGCCTTGCAACGGTCTGTGAAAATGCAGCCGGCCAGTGCATACAAAGAACGCCAAGCGGCAACACCCTCAATGCATCCAAGGTTTGCCTCACCTAAGTGCGAAAGGGGTGTTTCTCGAAACTGTGGTCCCCTATGGTTGGTTTCCTTTAGGCTTCCCTTTGAATGGGCCCATTTTGAGAAACACCCAGCGAGTGGAAGTGAATCATTTTCACTCCAGGCCGTCAACTTGCAAGCGGCCACTTCCCTGGCATCGATGTGGCTCAGGTGCCCCTCGTCCATCTGCTCGAACAAGTCCTTGCCTTCGAGAACCCAACATCCCGTGCCCCCAGTTGGCAGCCAGGGCCTTGCACTTTTTCCATAAAGATCAGGTACCTCTCTGGAGTTTCAAGCACCTCAGGGTTCATCCAGGTCGCGTTCTCTTAGAGATGCTGGCCTTGCCTCGTAGATCTCGCAGAGTTTGTCAATCTTCCTCGGTTGTCAGGGAAAATGCAGGTGCCAGCGTGTGAGTGTCTGCAGTCAAGAAGCGGCATGGACATCTGGACTTCTGTGGTGCTGCGCCAGTTTCGCTCTTCAGTTGCGCTTTTGAAAGAAATCCCCTGACAGCGGCCGGTTGCACCAGGACGATGTACAGCATCGCGGATGTATTGCACATGAACCAAGGAATTTGCGACTAACGTCGGCATCTGCCCTGCTGGGCTTGAAGGTGAGTCGGTACCAAGATGTCTTCAAGGCACTCTCGTTGCCATAATTTTGGGTACTGGCATGCATTGAGTTTGGTTCATGGTGGCACTGGCCTGCCTGGATGATTGGTAGCTGTCTCAAGCATGTATGTCCACGGCTTTAAGGAATGCTGTCGAAAAATACTCCAAACATTCAGCCTGATTAAAAAGCCCAACCAGCCTTCTGCCGCGTCTTTACCACACACTCGTGACCATCGGCAAGGCGTGTCGCCCATCTAACCTCCATGCCGCGGTTTGTGGAGTCCATAACCTTGGGCAAGGTAGCTCCAATCGCAGCTGAAAGTTCCGCTGCTCAAGACTCGCCAGGGGACAATCCCACCAATCTTGTATCCTCAGCAGCCAGCCAGCTCCAAGACCAACGTGAGCATTCCAAGCCACAAATCGAGCATTTGCAGTTGGGCTTCTTCTTATCACCTCTCCTTCGGAGGTCGCCTGCGACGAGCTGCCCTTGTCAAGCAACCCATCTGCAAGCCTGCCCCGAAGCTTCCGACGGCCTTGATACGGCGTTGGTGCTCCACCTTCCCCCCTTCACGCGACGAGTCCTTGCATCTTGGCGTTTCCAATTCAGCTTCCCCCTGGTTGGCGGTTTGGCTTGGCGGTTTGGAGGCTCGTTTACCCTTCACAAGGGCCAGGGGTTCAATAGCCACAAATCCAAACCACCAACGCAGGGGGTACTTGACCAATGTCCTCCGGACAGCACACCGCATTGAAAGCCAAGAACGCCAAGGAGCATTGGTGGAGACCTGCAAGGAGAGCCCAAGGCGTTCTCGTGCAGCTCTCATCTTCAAGAGTTAGCCTGAGTACAGTTGCGTTCAGTTGCGTTCCTTCCACCAATGGCCATTTCTCTGTAAGGCCACAACTGCCGCAAGGATGCTCCACATGCCCTCAACATGAGCCCAAAACGCCACGGGATCAAACACTGGAGGACTGGCACGAAGGCAACAAGCGGCCTAATGCGCTTGTTTCAATGCATATCCAAGCGTTCCTTCCTGCAACTACCGTCTTGGCAGCCGCAACCAGGAAAGATGACCAGCCCCAATGTCTCACACCTCTGTGCAGCTTGGAACTGTCAAGGGGTTTGCTCAGCATGGCTCCCGCTCGTGGTTGTGGCTTTCGAGCACTGCTCGCATCAGAACTGGATCCTGCTGTATGCGAGCCATTAGCCTTTGCCAAATCTGTTCGAATATGTCATCTGTCTCTGCGTTGCTGGCGCTGGTGCTGCGCAATCTTCGTATCTTCTCAGCACACTGGCTCACATTTGCCGGTGCCACGTTATCAACCAGGATCTCCCCACAAAAGGCGGCCAAATCCTGCAGGTCATACATGTGGGCAAGCTCAATCATGGCAGCAGCATCGATGTTAGGGTCAAAGGCTCCAGTGTACACATGCCTAAGCAGACTGGACACAACTTCCTTTGGGGCATCGATGTTGACACGGCCATCTCTGGATTCCAACATGCCAGACTCAAACATGCGATAAAACACTGGCGAGGAAGCTGCCAACAAAGCCTTGTGCGCTTCGACTGTGCCATCTGCACAAAGAATTGTCACATCGGTGAAAATTGAGTTTTGCAACAGCCGCTCAGTGTAGCAAACAGGGATTCGGCTGTGCTTCTGGGTGGCCTCAATACGCAGGACAGCATTGTCTGCCACGGATGCTCCAAAAAAGCGTCGGGCCCGAGCCGGGGCAAGCAGGCTGCCATGCCAAACCCGCGCATCATTCACAAAAACCTCTGCATTGCCTGCCGACCACTTCACCATGATGGAGTCACCCGATTTCACGATGGGGCCGTCGCGACGACTGCCCTTCGTCCCCACTTGGGAGTTTGTGAAATGCTGGCTGCGGATGCCGAATGACTGAGGCAGAAATCCCAGATCTCCGGCTTGACAGGGGGCTGTCCCAGTGCCATAGATCCCGCCTACCGAGATCGAATTCCCATCACCCGGAAACTCCACGACTCGCACCATGAACTCCTCCCCCACGTACTCGGCAGGAACCAGGGCCAGTGGGCTCTCCGACCCAGCGGAGCCGGGAACACGTACAGTCCAATCATCATCGAAGACCAGCATGTAGCTCGACAAAGCCCGGTCCCAGACCGGCCTTGTCGTCGGCATCACTTACCTCAGGATCAAAGCCCCGGGCATTCCCACTGAAACTTCATGGCAAGACATGTGCAGCTGCTGATATGAGCAATCTTGGTTGTCTAACATGGTCAAGAAATGGGACTGATTTGGAACGCATGCTGCTGCTTGTGGGAAAAGCTTGGGGCGTTCGATCTTCGACTGCGCGGGACTTGCCTCCCTCACATGATTGCTTCAAATAAAGAAGTGGGTTTGTAATAGTGCAGTCGCTCTTTTCCAACTGTGATAGCCAGCTCTGTCAACGCCTAATGCGTCACATGCTGACAGCGAAGCCCAATCTTCCGACGCTGGCGTGCTAGATTGGAGCTCACCACTTTGGCCGCGGCCGGTGCTCACTCAGGCGAGGTTCTACCCAGTTTTTCCCCTTGGATCATGCAAAGCACATCTCTGCCGCCAAAGGTCTTTCGTAGGATGACAAGGCAACACAATTGAGGCTGAGCAGCTGCCAGTGATCAACCTTGAGGGGTCTGCCCTGCAGCTCGACCCCGTTCAGCATCCTCAGCTTATGCATGCAGTCTCCCAAATCAAGCAGGAATACTTCTAGCGACCGAACACGTAGTGCCGAGGCTCTGGATGGCATTGTTGGCCTCCTGCTCAGTCTCAAATCGCACACAGGCCATACCCTTTGACCTGCACGCGGGACATGCAAGTTTTCGCCATGTCAATTCGCGTCAATTCAACCAAGCCTGCTCCATTCCGTGCCATCCTCTGTCAGCACAGAGCAGAACTGGACTTTGCCAGCCTGTTTCATATGATCCTTCAGCGCTTGCCACGTCACCTGCAGGCACCGCAATCATGCTCCACATGTCCACATGTGCGGGAACAAACGTGAACCCTGGCAAATGCTGGCCTTGAAGTCCAGATTTCCGACATAAACCATTTGCTTGGGGTCGCCCTTCACTGCTCCCATCGTCCCTTTGCCACCCATGCCCTTTCCCCCGCCGCCCATCATCATCATGGCCATCATGGCAGACATGGGGTCCATCTGGTCGCCCATTCCGCCCATTCCGCCCATTCCGCCCATGCCGCCTTGCCCGGATTGTGCACACATCTTGCAATACCAGTTTCGGGCAAACTGGTGGTCACCGCAGGTAGGGCAAATCCAGTCACCAGGTTTGAGCTCCTTGGCATAGGGGCCGCTGGTCATCGCTTTGCCACCCTTGCCATCGTTTCCCTTCCAAGGGGGCTGACTCCAGGCATCCTGACCCCAGGAATCACCCCAGTTGCTCCAGGGATGCGCTCCCTTGCCCCAGCTCATGGCCTTTCGGGAATTGGCTGTGCTTGGGACGAAAACTGCGGAGAAAGAAAGGGTCCAAGGGTCCAAGGGTCCAGATCTTTCTATGGGAGGTACACTTCAGTAGCCCTGCAACGGTGCCTTCCGCCGGGTTCGCTTCTTTGATCTTCGTCGCAGCTGTTCGCCAAAAAAAAAACGCAACCAGAGAGGTCACTTGTACAAATGACAAGAGGTCCGCTGGCTCGGCCAGGGGCCTCAAAAGACATCGAATCAACTTGTTAAACTTCTCCTTTGGAGCAAAGTTGCAAAAGACAAAGTCTCTCCACAGCCTGCCGGGCCACGGCATCCTACACTATCCATACCCGTAGTCATCCAGGCGGGGCGGTCTATCTCCAAAGCCAATCTCATTGGCCAGAACCGTTACGTTTCCTTCGCTTGGCAAATGCAGCGCTTGGAGAGCGCCGGCGAGGAAGGCGCTAATTTCTGCCAGGGATTTTGAAAGCATAATTGTTGTGATGGCTGCAGTGTCCGCGCCAAAGACCATGAAAACAGAGAAGCTTGCTTTGAAAGGACTAGGGGAGTCTTCTAGAAAGATCTGCACGCCCTCTGCTGGGATCTGGCCAGTCATGTTGGCTACAGTCTGGCGCAGGGCGAGTTCTGTCTCTTCCTTGTGGTTCATCGCAAGCTCTGGGTTCCTCACGTCGAGAAGTAAATAGCCGTCGATCACGTCCACTTGGTTAGCTTCACTCGATTCAACATTGTGGCCGCAGTGGTACGTGCCACCCACAAATACACATTGTTTGATCGCTTCGCAGTCCATTCCAAATGGCGTTGGGCACAAGGAGCCAGTCCGCGCATGATCACAGCCACAAGTGGTTGGGCCTGCATCCACAACACGAACACTTTGAACATTCGCACACGTTGACAATTGAGCTCCCGACAGAAATACTCCAGGGTCTTAAAGTCCCAGCTGAAAGATGGGTTCCACTCAAAGCAGTTCCCCCACGTGATGTTCTGGGCCGTCAAATTCTGCCCGAATGCACACCCATGATCCCACATAGCCTGCCAAAGGCACAATCATGCAAGACCCCGCCAGCATCTGTCGATGTCTCTACTTTGATTCCCCCACTGACGATGGATTTGGGCTGCAATGTATTTGATTAGAATCCATCGACAGTGCCTTCCTTCACCTGACACTTGACAGGATGTTTCACGAGCATCTTCCGATTGCGCAGGCGCGACTGGTGCTAAGGCAGGCAGGCTGATTTCGGGCCATCTTCGGGACTGCCATCTCACGCCATCTCACCCCGGCATTCCAACCCGCGAACTCAGCTGCCGCTTTTTTTTGTGGTAGCAAGAAAGCAACAGCTTTGCAGTCTAGAAGAAACTCCCGTAGTACGGAAACTGATTGCAAGGTAGCTTGCGCAGAGAAATTGCGAGATGGCGCATGCGGAAAGACAGCTTACGGAAGATCAAAGGTCCTATGCGAAATATAGCGTATGCAGATAGTTTTTTTGAAGTGACTTTGAGCAGTCGTGACAAAGCAGAAGAGAGCTGAAGGAGAAGAGGAAAAAAAACAAGACGAGAAGTGTTCAGATTCGAAGTGCTCAAAGTGAGCGCCCTGTGGGAGTTCCGCGTGCTCCGGCGCGCAAACCTCTTGCGCGACTTGATTTTCCCGAGTCCGGGACGGGTGCAGAACGGCCAGGCCCATTGGCACGGACGCGTGACAGGCGCAGCACTTCGCGAGGTCAGATACAAATTTCATGACAGGCGCAGTACTTCTGCAAGGTCAGGCATAGATATTGTGGCAGGCACAGTACTTTCGCCAGCTCGGGCAATGACAGGTGCAGCACTTGGGGATAGAAACTCAAGGTCAGGTGCAGATTTCAGCGCTTTCGCAGAGTCAGGCGCAGATTGGGTGACAGCCGCAACACTTTTGCATCGGATGCGTTGCTCGCAAATCCAAATGGCACGGCAGCGCAAACTGTCACGTACTGATACTGGTAGGCACAGCACTTTTGCAAGGTCAGGTACAGATTTCGTGGCAAGTGCAGCACTTTTGCAAGGCTGAGTACGGATTTTCTGACAGGCGCAGCCCAAGTGCGGGTTTCATGACAGGCGCAGCACTTTCACAAGGTCATGTGCGCATTTCCTGGCAGGCACGCCGCTTTCAATAGAAAAATTTGTATTTATTTATATATATATATATATGTGTGTGTGTGTGTGGTACTGTACCCCCCTCCCGGGACACCCCCCAGCTCAAAAAAGGGGGAGAACGCTGCAAAATCGATGAACGCTCTCTCTCTCTCTCTCTCTATCTCTCTTTCTCTCCCTTCTCTCACTCTGCACGCAGGGCCCGCTCAAAGAGGAGATAAGAGGAGATCGTGGCAGGTTGCGGGTCCAAAACGAAAGAACTATTATGAATCATGCCTGCAGCCGCTGCTGCGAAATCATGGAACTTTGCCAAGTTGCAAATGTCCGCCAGTGGCACATTTCTGTCACAGCAGAGTGAAGATTTGAAGGAAGTTTGGACCCTGAGGGAGCCTTTTCTGAAAAGGACCGGGGCCTACAACCCATATCTAGTCTATACAATGACTGGTTTACTTCTAGTCTACAACCCCAACTGGCAACAGCGCCATCGATTTGTTTCGCTTTCGGACACCTCACCACCAAAAGTCACACCCTCACGCAATTGGAGGTTATCATACAACCCTAAGGGACATTCATTTACGAGTTACAAGAGAGACACGGCCTTGGCTTTGCCGACAAGCTTGGCTCACACATATGCAAGCACATATATACAGACACACCAAACGTCACCAACTGCAAGCCAGGGAAATGACCTGTTTTGATGGTGTCCCATCCTGGCCTCGGCTAATCTTAGAGCTTCTGATTGACCTGACAGGCTTCCAGATGTCTGGCCGAAAGCCCGGATCGTCTCGACCCAGCTGGTCCAGGGCTCATTCTGCCGCAATTCAGCCGCTGATTTCTCCGCACAAGTCGCCGACCGCAGGGCAGTGGTCAACTTGTTTGAGGAGCTGCATGGCCTGCCTGCGCCAAAAGGACACCCCTGAACCAGGATAAAGTTGCCAGCTGGATCAGAGCAGCCACAGGTTTCAGAGCAGAGCATTCGGGTCAGAAAGCCCCTTCCATTATCGACTCCCCACTCGGGCATCTTTGACACAGAGTTGCAGTGCTGAGCAGCATCTGCGCAGCTCGCAATGCTTTCATTGCCCAAACCGTCGCGGAGGTAGTTCAGCATTGGAGTGCTAGTTGCCAAGTCTTCACACCCTGCGTTGTGCATATCCACCAAGGTTGACAATGACAAGGACAAGTCGGACGAAGCAGCCAAGGCAGAGATGCTGCTTTGCCAAACGCCAAATGCTGCCTGCTGCGAGCCGTTCGTGCCTGCACTGATGCCGCTAGTCCCCTCAAGAATTGCTCGCATCCGAATGGACTCAGCCTCAGTATCGTTCCAGCCATCTCCAGAAGTTGATGCGAGTAATGTCACTCTGCGCTTGTCCTCGGCCCATACGAAGGCCAAATTACCTCCACACAATGCCTGGTTCACAGCCTGGAGGTCTTGAACCATTGGTACCACCATCACAAAATAGATGATCATGGTGACTGCGGGTCTTAGCTGGTCTGCAGAAAGCACAGTGGGTCATGAGTCATGAGCATTTCTTGCATGCGTCCCTCTACAAATAGCACACTATGGAGACCTAAGGACCCGGCATCAAAACGCTCATGCTCAGGGACTTGGCATCGGCTCCACGGAATCGTGGCAGAGATGGCATGGGCAATGGCTCAAGGTGATGCACCAAATGCCGGCCAGGAGTGGTAGCAAGCGCGTCAAATATCAACTCATCAATCTCCAAAATAATTTCCAGCGCAACTGCATTAAGAATGAGCTCAGTGACGTTTACTGTATACACCTCTCAGCCCCAAAGCGGACAACCAAGAGCAATACTGAAAAGAAGGAAAACCACCAAAAGCAGCCAGGCTGCAAGGAAGAAGGTCCCAACGTAGATCAGCAATGCTGCAGCGAACAATCTGTAGATCAAAAGGATGTAGCTTCCCAGAACGCGCCGACTGGTGACAGAAACTAGCCTGGGTGTGGACTAAACGTATGAGGGGTCCAAAGAAAGATCCTTTCAGAACAAGCAGGCGTCTCTCACTTTGCCACCAAGATTCCGAAAGTGGGTAATCTGCGTAAAAGGGTTCTCTCTTGGCTCCAGCTTATTTTCCCCTCGGGGGACTGCAAGGAAGCCGCGGTGCAAAGCCAGAGCATGGCTGACTTCTTTGGCAACCATAAGGTACCAGCAAACAAGAGCAACCAGACACAGCACTTGGCCAGTGAAATACGCTTCAAAGCCTGTCGCGTCTGGCTTCAGGTATTTCTCAATGTCTTCGTTGAGCCCCATCTGAACACCGGAGATGTGGAGCGACTTGTCGCCTCTGCAAACTCGCTGGGCCAATGACATCTGCGCAACATCATCATACTCGCTCAACGTGTGCGCAGAGGACCTGCGCCAACGCCACGCGTCATTCACGGTGTCCGCGTCCAAGTCGGGCACCAGGAAGTTGTACCAAGCAATGCCAACGAAGATTCCCTGAATGAAGACGTTGGTCAAAAGCAGGATAAGCGTTTGAAAAGAACCCGCGGGTCCCAGTGCCCCAGTCCCAATGAACATGGCCAGGTCCCAGGTTGACTCGCCAAATGCATAGTACTCCTGACAGGCAAAAGTCAGGCCATTCCAGCTGCGCACACTTCCTTGTGAAACTTCCTTATCTCGGGTAACAGGCGCTACTTGCGCCAACGTTATCGTTTTGTTTTGTTTGACAGGCTCTGCTGAGTCACAGACTTGTCAGCTGAAACATGTGAGCAAAATGGCAACCGTGCGTCGGCCCTACATGCTTGGAAGGATGGAAATGGGATCAGCAGGAGGCTTGTCTTTGCAATAGCTCAATATAGAAACACCTCAAAGGGAGAGGCATGGAGCATGGGCCACTCTGTGTTACGCTTCGCTGCCATCCATGCACAGAGTCTGCAACTTTGGACGTGCAACCAGCTCCGATGTGCCTATCAAATGCTTAGGGCTTAGGATTCGTCTCGAATGAGTTTCCTGCTCAGCTCATGAAGCAGCAACTTACAAAATGCCTGGGCTTTCACATCTGCAAAGAATAAGAGGGTGTGTGCGCATGGCTGGACTAAACAGAGGGAACTACCAGTGCACGTGTTGGTTGACGACTTGCCTATTTGGCAAGCACCCTCCCTGTGAAGTAACTGTTGATGCCGATTGGACGCTTCATTACATTGACACACGGTCAAGAGCTATGCAAGATCGGCTGCAAACTCTCGACAGTCGGTATTCTGTATTTGCTTTCTTTGACTTCGAACCTTCAAGACAAAGTGCTTTGAGCTTTCCGCTCCCCTAGCAGCACCCAAAACCCCCATTGGCCATGTTGGTGAGTGGCTCCACTACCTGCTTCAGAAAGCTGTTCCTTCCACTTGCAGGGCCAACTCCCTGTATACGGTGAACTCATTTTGGTGTCCATTTGTTTGCTTCGCTGGTGTTCCTCTTGTTTGGTTTTGGTAACTATTCCGCAAGCGGCCACAAATGTACGCCTGCCTGTTTGAGAAGGACAAGGGACATGTAGCGCAGCAGGTGCAGAAGCTCGGCTTTAGCGCCCGAACGCGTAAGCGAGTGCGCTGGCTGGCGATATCCATTGAGCTGTTGCGTGCTAAGATGTTTAAAAGCGTGCATGTTGCTTGCATGTCAGTCAGTGCTTAGAAGGGTTGAGCAAATGCTGGCTTGCTCTGACTTGGGTCTGCTTGGGCCCACCGAAACAAAGGCAAACCAAAGGGTATGCGACACAAAGGTAAACCAAGCCAAACCAAAAGCAAACGAAACCAGAAGCAAACCAAAAGAAAACCAACGGCAAACCACAGGCAAACCAGAGGCAACCCAAAGGCAAACCAAAACCAAACCGAAGGAAAACAAGAGGCAAACCAAAAGCAAACCAACAGCAAGCCAAAGGCAGACAAAAGGCAAACCCACAAGCACAAAAGGTCAAAAGCAAACCAAAAGTAAACTAAAGGCAAATCAAATGCCAAAAGCAATCCAAGGAAAACCACTTGCAAACTGAAGGTAAGCCAAAGGCAAATTGAGCCCGGGGCCTCCCGCATGCTGAGCGGGTGTGATGCCACTACACTAACTGCCCCTGGTATGCATCTGCAGCAAATTGGGCCTGGAAGTTTCGAGGTTCCTCTTGACGGGCCGCAAATGCGCTGTAAATTGCAGAAAAAGCCTGTCTGACGTGTCTGAGACTGGCCTCAGGCCTAGCCCCAGCAAGCCAAGCCCAGCCCAACCCAACCAGCAACCCACAGAGGCTACCCTTCAAGCAGCAACCAGCAACCTGCCACAGACAGCCCCCAGCCAGCACGTTCCATGGGCCGCAGATGTGCGGCAAATGGCAGAACGCTAAAAACTAGTTTTTGGTCCGAAAAGCATGCCCTCCTGCTGGCTCGGCCTGTCTGACCCAAGCCCAGCTCAACCAGCAACCCACAGAGGCTACCCATTCAAGCAGCAACCAGCAACCCGCCACACACAGCCCCCAGCCAGCACATGGGCCGTTTTTTGCCGCAAATGCGCAGCAAACGCCAAAAACTGAAAAGCATGACCTCCTGCTGGCCAGGCCTGTCTGAAATCGCCACTGGACCAGCTCTGCTGCTTGCAATCGAGCAGCAAACGCTGCACGCTCGGCTGGGCCGAGGCGGGAGGCGCGCAGCGTTTACAATTATCGTTATTCGATTATGAATAAGTTTCAACCCAGGAGAGGAGGGGGTTTTGTTGATGGCAAAGGCAAGTTTGAACTTGAGAACTTTGTTCATGTCCGGGATGCAACCTCAAAAAACATGTTCTTTCTCTGCTGGACCCGTCTTGTTTGCGTGCCTGAAACATATGGTCTCAGTCAATAGCTGCTGCATTGGCTCCTTGTTTTTTGCCAGCAGAAACCCAACCTGGGGTGTGATTGTCGTCGCCGCGTACGACCCCTCGTGTGTTGTGCGCTTCTGAGAGTTATCTTCTTGAAAATCCTCACAGTGTCTTTGTTTTGTTTTGCATTTCCCCACTTGTTTGGGGGTGGCTTGAAGCATACTGCGTTTACCAACGCTCCAAGCATACAAGGTGATTTCGGGCTCTTGTTAAAAACAAGGCTTCCGGGTCTGCCTTGTTGTTGGGGCAATTAATGGACGCGCAAACGAGATGAACAAGCAATTAGACACTTGCCTGTGTGTTAAATGTATGCAAGACAAAAGCGAGCAGCCGACTTATTGTTCGGAGCTAGCTGGCCTGTGTGCTCCTTGCCACAGACGAGAATGTGCTCCACAACTGACTCACTGAGCTGCGTGGCAGCATGTCTTGACTGCCTGCTCTTAAGGAACACAGGCTTTGAGGGACTGCAAGCAGCAAGCAGGAGCAGGAAGGCGACAAAGGGGGCAGGCTGGGCACGACGTTGACGAAGAAAGACAGACCAACAGTGCCACAGTGCTGCCCTCACTAGTTCAAAGGAAGTCACCAAGTCTAAGAGAGGTTCCAAATACCAAGGACAAATGGCGAACAAAGGGACGAGGACTGGATGACGAAAACAGCACAACAAGCGGACGAGACCTAGTGTCCTCACCATCAGATGATGAAACCCCATCCCAACCCTGTGACATGAACCGAAGCAGAGCATGCAAAAAAGACACGGGGTCACAAGCGGCGGCTACTACAAAAAGAGTGACGGTATAAGCTCCAGAGCACCCGCTCACGACTGCACGCCAGCCCCACAGCAAGTCGAGGACGCTGCCTTTGCAAGAACTGCACCTCAAGCTTCCTACGCATGAAAGGCCTGCCATACTTTGATGGCTTGCTGAGTGCGGTCAGGTTTGCGCGCGCGCTGGCAATTCAAATGATAATCTGTTCAACCCTCCTGCATGGCTTGCAGTGTGGCAATGCATCAGAATGCATGTGCAGTTGCTGACTGGCTGTCAACAAGACGCTGGCTGTCAACAAGTTGCAAATTCATCAAATTCACAATCCCGGCCTGAGTGGCTGTGTCCAGGAACTGTTCGTCCACTCCGCGCTCTCTCCGCTGCATCACAGACGCGCGGGCGTTGTAATTTGCAAGGGCTTCCTTCGGTTCAATCAAGCTTGTCTTCGGCTGAGCGCCGAAAAAGCTGACTTTGGACTTTTTCCTGGTGCGACCCAAATCCGGATTTAGTAAAGTCAATTTGATATATAAAATAAGGGTTGATATACAAAATGCGCAATCTCCCTGTGCAAGCCAAAATATTTGCCAACGCAAAGTTAGGAGTCGTCGATGCGACTGGCACTGCCAAGCGCACATTGGCATTGTCCGACCTTATGTGCTGCACTTGGCTGACGCACACGGCACCAGCTCACAAAGCCTAATTAGTGGGGCTCTGGCCCATCAAACACTTCATCCTCCTCCTGCTTCTCCTCAGCATCGTTGTCTGCCTCCTTGACCGCCAGCTGACGAGGGGGCTCGAAACAGGGCATTAGTGGGCGAGGAGGCTCCGGAGGCGGCTCAGCACCTTGGGACGACACGCACAAAACGGGCTCAACTGGAAGCGCGTCCGAATTCCGAAACGCTTTGATTGGTGCAAGCAGGTCGCCGTCCTGACATCGCGCAGGCACATGCAAATCACAGGCTGCAGCAGCAGCACCGTCATTGTGCCAATGCCTTACAAAGGCGCGCATTCCGAACGCCAAATTTTGGGTTGAGAAGGCCATGCCAAGGCATGCTGAGGCGCTTCTCGAGGGCAGCCACGCGTGTGTCCAGCTGGACGCTGAGCAGCTGCAAGGAATGCTCCAGCTTCTGAAAGCCTCGCTGCATTGACAGCACAGCTGCACAGCACGCAAGGCTGAGGCGCGCGCGAGCTTCCAAAGCTGCCAAATCACGTGCAAGGTCTTCACCCGCCATCGCGAGCCAGCCCTTCGCCCCTTGAACTGGCGAAGGCCAAGGCCTGCGGTCAGCTCATGCTCCAGCCATCTCCCATGTCTTTAGCCAATCGCCTTATGTCTCAGTGCATTCATAAACTTAAGGAAACCAATTTCACTGCATTCTGGAGCCCACCTTTTTGTCCGCAGCCGGTACGCAGCTCAACGACATGATCCGGCGGACTGGCGGAATAAGAGAGCGTGCCATTGCTGCCCTTTGGCAAGAAAGCTTATCCTCCCTACTTGCTGCACTGCTAATCTCTTCCAGCACCGACACCAATTTTGCCGCTTCCTGCGCGAGTCTTGCGCGCAAACCAGATTCGCTGCAGTGGCTGGACCAGAAGTGCCGAAGCAAGGTGATGGCCTTCTTCACGTCATCAGGAGCCGTCGACTCATGGCTCTCCACCCCGGGGTCCGCTGACAGCCGTTCTGCTGCCAACAGCTCCTCCGTGGCAGACTTGAGCACCCAGCGAGTGCCAGATTCTGAAATCGCACACTGCCCACACACCCACGACTTCAAGTCGGGCAGCTTTGTGTCGCGCTTTCGTTTCTGGGGCATGCTGGGAACCGGCAGCGAGCCTGCCTCAGATGTCAATTGTAATCGAGCAATCCTGGGACCCTGGGCTGCTTTCCCCGTGCCAAGCTCCTCCTGGAACGCTTGCGCGGCATGCTTCAGCTCTGCGCGTCTTTTCTCGACAGTTTGCCGCAAATCTGCGTCCGAACGCTCAAGCGTCGCCACAAGCTCAGCACTGCGCTGGTTCAAACGCGAGATGAGGCTTGCATTTGCCGCAGTCCTCCTGTCCATGACCTTGTCACGTTCGAATTCGCCCGTCAAGTCAGCTTCGGGATGGGACACGCATGCGGGCAACTCAGGCTGCGCTTCTGTCTGGGGGGATTGAAGTGAATCGAAAAGTCGGTCCTCCGGGTGCGATGCAGGCACCTCATGGCCAGCAGCATTCAGGAAGTACCGACTCCTCAAGCACCTCTCCCAGAACTGGGCTTCCGTCATCATGGATGGCACTGTGGCGCTGAAGAGCTGCCCCAATGCCGGGAGCTCCTTGAAGATCGCTGCGCGATCCTCTGGGCCCACCTTCCCAGCCTGCCCACGGGCGGCAGCCACCACGCGGAGGGGTGCCAGGTCGATGCTGGGCGCCTCTGGCAGCTTGGTGCACAGGGCAATCTCCTGGGAGTGTGCCTCCAAGAACTCATTGGGCGTCAAGATCTGCGTTTGCTTCACCAGGTACTGGTACTGCGCACTGAGCTCTGGCGAGGCCAAGACGGAACGAAGCTGGCCGCCCAGCTGCTCTGCCTCCTTGCGTTGCTCCTCCTCCAGACGCTTGCTCTCCTCCTCGCGGCTCTGCATCTTCTCTGACAGCTCCCGCAAATGCGTCCACTTTGAGGCCTCTGAAGAGAACTCAACGACCAGCTTGCCCCCCAAAGCCGGGTCCAGGTTGGAGAGACGGACCAGGGCATCGTTGAAGCCCGGCCGCTTCTTTGCGATCTCAAGCTTGATGCTTCGAGCACCCAGCTGGATGTCCACCGTGGGTCCTGCACTCCCAGCAAGCAATCCACAAAACAACAACGCTCACACGCCTGCAGCATCTTGGCCAGGATCAGCAAGATGGACTAGCCTCGAGCGCAACACCGACCACGAACGAAGGTTATCATCAAAGCTCCCTAGCAGGCAAGCATCAAAACAAAAACAGGGCTGGCCCCAAGCCAGAAGACAATCTTAAGCAGCAGCAGCTGGCACAGCTCCTAGGTGCGCCCTTCGGGGAGAAAAAAAAAAACGCGCCTGGCCTCGTGCCCGTAAGTACGAGCTTGCCTGGAACTTTGCGGCAGCGAGCAGGCCAACTGCCAAGCACGGGGTCGCCATCAAGTTTCTCCATGGCGCGTGTGTTAAGCCGGAGGTCTTTCAACTCAACCGCTTCATTCTGCCGAATTTCCAAAACTGTGAATTAGAGCCTCAAGTGTGGAACAATTGAGTTTTTGAGGCCCGCCACACAATCTCAAGCCTCCAAAATCCCTAGGTTTGTGTGACAACAAAACCCTGTCATGGCTCGCCATGTCCAAATTCGTCACCACCTTCATTGTTCCATGCAGCTTGATTTCTGAGGTTCACTGAGATTTACTTTAAATCCACAAGGGTCACTTCAGCTGCTCAAACGCATGACGCATGCCTTTTGTTCGGCGTGTTGTGCAGACGCTGGCTACACCGCCAGCTCCCCAAGAGCCATTGTGAAACAGTTTAACTGCACCATTGCGCAGTCTGTCCCACTCTGGGCTAACGATGCCCGGAGAAGCGCACTTTGCCTCATTTAATGAGGTGGCCCTTCCGCAAAGTGACGGCATTGGAAGTGCCTTAGCAACAATATTAACTTTACTAACTTCGCGCCGGAATAGACACTTGAATCAGTTGAGTGCAGCACCTATAAAGGGAAGTCTGCGAGGCTTCATGAGGCACGACCGCGCCTGAGCCGCGTCGCTGCCAGCCCCACTTGTTTTGGCGGCTGAAAAGGCCCTGGCCATCTCGACTGGCTGGGACTGGCGCTTGGGCTCCCCGTACCTGCCAGAAACCAAACAGCAACATTTGAGGGGACAGTTTTTCGTGGCCTTCCAAACCAGTCGTTCAGGCTGTTGACGTTGACCTGAGACTTAAAAAAACAAGCGATCGATCCTCCTTCCGCACCAGATGTCTAGCCTGAGATCCCTTGAGGAGCTCTTGCTTTTCAGCCTGGAACAAGTCAAGTTTCAAAATGCAGGCTTGCATTTGCGCAGTGAACGGGGCAAAGCTGCCTTCTCCAACTGGTGGACCTGCAACTTGTCATTTTCATTGATTGCAGTCACAAGTGTGGGCCTCCTTCTGAAGGGCTTCCAACTCCTGCGAGACTCGCAGGACGTTCTGCAGAGTGTGCTCCAGCCTCACGAATTGGATCCAACAACTGTGCAACTCCAAGCCCTTGTAAAGGCCAGATCTAGGCCGCAAGCCCCTCTGGCGACTCTTCACTGGGAAGCTTGTTGTGGCGGCATTCCCTGCACAGAAGTTGACCCTTTCACAAGAAGGCTGAGCAGTCCTCTGGGAGCCATACATGGACCCGAACATCTGACGGGACCTGATTTCATTGAGCTTCTTCGCCGCGGATGCAAATGAACTGGATTGCAGCAGCGCTGGTTCTGAACAGCTCAGCCCCAAGCTTCTTCACGGCAACCTGCTGAGCCTTCACATTGCTTCTCCTTGGCATGCCAAATTTTCTCGCTGTCTGCGTTCGCTGAAAGCGGGAGCCCGGCTGCACAACAATATCCTGGCGCAGTTGCGACGCTCACCACGCAGCGGTCCAAAAGCGCAGTTACAGTTGAGCTGGGCCTCGCCCACGGTGCGGCGAAGCCCAATGGCCAAGGCCTCCAAGGGCATCAACGGCATCAATGGCAATAGCACTGAGAACAACCTAAGCTGCCCTGAGAACCTTCTGCTCTCGGAGGAGTTCAGCTCTTCTGGCATTGATCGCCTTTATCTTCTCAGCCTCAAGAAACCCACCACTTCAAGACCAGAGACCGGAGCTAAGCTCTTTCCGAGCTCGGCACGCCGGGGCTCTGCAAGCCAAGAGAACAAATTTTGTCCTAACGTCAGGACGGCCACGAGAAAGTTCCCGAGAAAGCTCCGCCTCTTTGCGCTTCCTCAAGCTCCACTCGTCCATCCCAGTCCTTGGAATCGAAAGCCATGGGTAAGCGTATCCGTTGCATCCTACCGTCTTCCCAAAGCCTGACTTCCCTCTGAGATTCGGGCCTGCCAGCTACTGGCCAACCCCGCCCGCTTGAGCATGCGAGCTGCAACGAGTACTAGTTGGCCAAGAAAATCAATGCCTCAGGAATCAGGAAGATCTTCAAAAACATGAAGCACGGCCAGCACCGTTTGGCTGTTGCACAAGCCAATAAGTTCATAAGAACTGAATTGCCACGTGCTGGATGCAGGCGCAGTGCCTTTTTCCATCTTGCGCGCCTGGCACAAATCAGCAGCAAGAGTTCATGGACCTACGAAATCCTCCCTCCGCTGGCTGCGTTGCGAAGGGATCCTGCAAGACATGAGGCTTCTAATTTGGCCTTGCAATTCGCCACAAAATGACGCAAGAGCTCTCCGTCCTGAC